TTATTATTATCATCAGATAGATTGATGTCAGATAGAATTTATACATTGTCAGAATATACATGTATTGTCAGATAATTAATGTTGGTCTTCCTGAGCTGATTTGGGGAGCGCGGGGGTGTCAGGCGCGGGGGTGTCAGGCGCGGGGGTGTCAGGCGCGGGGGTGTCAGGCGCGGGGGTGTCAGGCGCGGGGGTGTGCGAGGGAAGATCGGATCTGGATATGAACTTGAGACGGCGATTTGGAAGCGAAGAAGGATCATGGTGACGGGAAGAGGGTCTGGGACCGGTGGCCTGGCTGCTCCAAGCCAAATCCGGTCCCGCTTGCCCAATACGCTGGTTGCCCTGTTTGGGGCGGCAGCGTTGCTTCGGATCGGTCTGATTGCTTACAGTGACTATCAAGATCGCCATGCAGCTGTCAAGTATACAGACATTGACTATGTCGTCTTTTCAGATGCGGCCGAGCATGTGGCGGCTGGGCGTTCTCCCTACGATCGAGCAACCTATCGCTACACCCCGTTGCTGGCCTGGTTCCTTGTGCCCAATCTGGCCTGTCCATGGTTTGGCAAAGCTCTTTTCGCTGCTTGCGACCTTCTAATCGCAGCCATTCTCTATCAACTAGCCTCTGCAGCGAGTGACCAAACCCAATCGCTCAATGGCGGCCGCTTCTGGCTCCTGGTAGCCTGGCTGTTCAATCCCGTGGTCTTTGTCGTTTCCACCCGCGGTTCTGCCGAATCCCTCATTGTTCTTGCCGTCCTGGCCATTCTCCTGATGGCCAGCCTGCGCCGCGCTGCTTGGACCGGCTTGGCCCTAGGCTTGGCCATCCACCTCAAACTATTTCCCATCATTTATAGCCTACCCCTCTTCTTGTACTTTGGTCCCCGAGGTCGACCGCGAGGGGTGGTTGCCACGGCGGCTCGGCTCTGGCCTTCAACATCCGACCAGTGGTGGCTCATCTCCACCACTGGCGTATCCCTTGCTGGTCTCACGCTCGTCTTTTGGATCGGGTGAGTATCGGCGTCTCCCGGTACACGAGAGTAGCAAATGTGGCCATGGTCCACCCCGTCCGAGATGACAACTCGCCACTTGCGGCTCCTCTATGCCCTCGCACACTGAATTGTAGCTTGAAGAGCGTGAGTCTGTCCATCTTCTCTGAGCCTCATTGTCTTCTCTCTCTCCCTCCCTCCCTCTCCCTCTCCCTCTCTCCCTTCTAGATATGGGAATGAATTCCTCTTTGAGGCTTACGGCTACCACTTTGTGCGCACAGACATCAAGCACAATTTTTCCGCCTACTTTTATTTCAATTATCTGACTGCCCTGAACCCCCACGAATCGGGCATCGCACTTCTGGCTGGCCTCATTGGGTTTCTGCCTCAGGCCGGAGTGCAGCTGGCAGCTGCTCTGGCGTTGCACCGAGACTTAATAGCTTGCTTCTTCGTTCAGGTTAGGCAAAGCCATTTCGATGACTCTTGGCTTGCCCACCGGATGCCTTTGACTATTGAATGTGCTCATTGAAGTTGCACTCTCGCTCCCGTGATAGACACTCACTTTCGTGGCTCTTAATAAGGTCTATACATCCCAGGTTCGCAAAAACATACCGAGACTAGCCATATGCCTCCTGGTCTGAGGGGGTTTCAATCCGTATCTGTGCTCTCTCGTTTTTGGCCTGCGCATGATTGCCTTATGGTTCGAACTGCTAACCCATGCCTGCTTGTTCGTTGTTGTTTTTTTAAACGCTTTTGGGGTTTGCTTACGGGGCTAGTATTTCCTTTGGTATCTACCTTTGGGGTTGCTGCATTTCATCCGCCTGTCCCCGTGGCGCTGGCAATGGGCGATGGGGCTCTGGCTAGGCGCGCAGGTATGGGTTTCGCTCTTTCTCTTTTCCGCCCCATGTTGACGTTTTCTGGCTCAAGACATCTATTATGCTTCATGCTTCCGCTAGGCCATCTGGCTCGGAAGTGCCTATCTGCTCGAGTTCCAGGGGCTGAATGTTTTCTCTGCAGTTCATTTGGCAAGCCTAGGCATGCTGGTCATGCATGTGAGCGTGATGTGGTTGGCCCTTGCTCTTCGTTCTTAAGGAGAGCATAGTGAGCAAGAGCTCTCTCCACTTGAACCAGGACAATCTGAATCCATCCCAAATCGATCACGCCAGCCCCTTCACTAGCACAGAAGATAATACACCTTTGCCTTGGCGTATGCTCTCTGCGTGTGTATGTGTTTGTGTATGTGTGTGTGCGTGATGTGTGTGTTGGTCGGTTTGAGAAGCGAGCTTTTTTTTTTTCTCTTTGTGTGCCCCTCAACTTTTACACACTTTGACACACACACACACACACACACACACACACACACACACACACACACACACACACACACACACACACACACACACACACACACACACACACACACACACACACACACACACACACACACACACACACACACACACACACACTTTACTTGGATACGAAGACGCCCCGGAGGGAAGAGGCGTAAGGGAGGGAGGAGGCGGAGGAGGCGGAGGAGGCGGAGGGGCGACGGTGGCAAAAGGGGGGAGTTCATAGGCTGCCTGGTGGAGGTGGTCTGGTTTGCATTGATGGGGGCGTTGGAACAAGGGGTTGATTGGTGCTTGCCAGTGACCTGCCTTTATCGAGCTCGGTGAACAAGCTAGCTGGGCGGTTCGTCATGGCCAGCAGTACTGAGCTGCTTGAGAGCTCAAGGCACAACCCGACGCAAGGATGGCAGGAGAAGGGCCTTGTTCAAGTGGTGTGTTGCCCTGGCAAACCTAGACCTTGATGCCTGATGATGTGCAGTCCTCTTCACATCTTATTTGCTCAGTCTTGACTCATGCCTCCTTTTGCTTCTGCGTGACTACACCAATGACCTGATGGTCACGGCCACCTGCTCCCAGCTGAAAAGTGGCGATGTAGGCACGCACGTGGTCATTCTTGGCAATCGCCAGACATCACTCTCCTTTAAAACACCACTTTCCGGTAAGATCAACTTGCCCTACTTGATCAATTGGAATCCATCGGCAACTCATCGAATACCTGCTTCCACCCCCTGTCCTCCGGCCTCCGTGCTCCCCGTGCTCCCAAAGTTGAACAGTATGGTCCATCCATCAGCTTGGTCTTTCAGTTGCAGCGGGTTCCACGACGGCCTCTATCCATTGATCTGAGGTAACATCTTGAGGGTTAACCCACACATACTCCGTGACATGATGCCTTGCCATCCATCTTATGGTCGGGACTTGATGCTTGGACCGCTTTAGCTGTGAGAGCGATGAGCCTGGTCGCCTTTTCAAATTCATGTTTTCAACCGAGCTGCATGCCGTCAAAGTGGACTCTTTGCGTGCGCGCTTACCCCTTGCCTTTATCGATGAGGATCAGGTGCGGGACGTGTCGTTGTCGAGGCTCCGTCGCGTCGGTTACCTGCGTCGACACACTAAACGCCGCTTTTGGTATCCGGCGTTGGACCTAAATATTTGTGTATGGGCCCCCTTTTGCAGTGGTACACAATCTGGTTTGACGTCACAGAGTTGATGAACTACTGCTTCCATGAGCAGCTCACCCGCATCACGGCCATCAAGATTGGTACGCTCCCATTCACAGTCTTGTCCTGATGCCATGGCATTTGTCGCAGATGCGTTTGAACATTGGCCGCTCACTCTGCCTCTGCGGAACACCGATTGTGGGTGCTTGTGCCGTCTGGGTATAAAACAGAGCAAGGTGCTCGCTTGCGACGCGTCCTCTCTTTGGGTGGAAGTCGCCACCTGCCTGCCAAATGGGCATTGCCCGCCACGTTGAATGCAAACGAGGTCAAAATCAACGCCTTGGTTCTGGCTGATCTCGAGGGTAGGTATCTATTTTGCAGCGCAGTATGGAGAAGTTTCATCGCTTCTTGACAGAGCACAGACAAGTCGGCCCTTGCCTCGCACTCATGTCGCGAAAATATTGCTTAGCTGCTCGGGCCAGCGCAACCGGACTAGATCTGACAACCTCCATGCTGATGGATCGGTCAGACGGGACCATCATCGCTGGCCGTCTGCCTGCACCGCCATCCAGTGGCTCAAATTCCCGACCTGCACGCTCTCCGCGACGTGGTCGCATGGTGCGGAGTGGGGACAAAGCCGGCCGTCCTGTGCGTGACTCAGTAAAGTGGCCTGTGCATGAAACGGCAACATCAGGCGTCAAGCCTTCTGGGCAGGAACAAAGTACGTGGTGTTGGCTTCATTGCGTCGCGCCTCCTGTTTTTATTTATTTTATTTTGTTTTTATTTTTAATTTATTTATTTGTGTGTGTGTGTGTGTGTGTGTGTGTGTGTGTGTGTGTGTGTGTGTGTGTGTGTGTGTGTGTGTGTGGCGCTAACTTGGATTTTGTGTTGATATGAGGATAGGAGGAGCAAACGATGGCATGGAGCGCGGTGACTCCCGGCACGTGAACTCGCATATTGTTAGTGGAGGTTCCAAAGCCACAACTCTGACAAGCGACACGTCCCTTGTCGACGGACATCCGTCAACTGACCGACCTGTGTTTTCATTTCGAGTGGCACCGCGCACACCACCGCTGTCGACGTTGCGCGCCACGAGCCATAGCCTTGACGACTCGGATGCTGACTTTATGTCGGCAATACAGGTAGCGCGGGCACCCGAGTCACGCCCAGCCTCTGATACTCCGCCAACGGACTCAAGCGCAGGTCCAGGCGCACCAGAGCGACGTTTGGGCTCGGCAGGGCGTCGAGGGCGAACAGAGGATGATTTACTAGAAGCCACTGCAGATCGCATTTCTCAGCTTCGCCAGCAGCGGCCAACAAGTGGAAATCGACGCCGAGCAGGGAGCCGTTCTGGGAGCCGTTCGGGCAGTCGGGCCGGTTCCGCTTCCACAGGCCGGGCTGCGGTCTCTGCGCAAGAGGCTGTATTGGATGCTGCTCACCTTCAAGGGGACGAAGTGGCGCAAGCGGCTGACCTGGTGCCTATTTTGAATAAGCCCCCTGTGTCCGCCGACAACCTGCGGTCGCAAAATGCTGGTTTGCATGGCGTGTCCAGACCCGGGGTGGGTACAGGGACACTCTTGGACCCTCGGGCTGAGCATGATAATGTAGCATCACAGGGTGTTCTCGTCGGTGCGGCCATGAGTGCTGCGGCCGGGGCCGTGAACGAGGACGAGGAGGACGAGGAGGGGCAGCGGCCCACGTTTACCTCCTCGAGCTTATTAGCTTCGCGAGCACCCTCTGATGCAGCTACGTCTTTGTTGGAGGACCTGGTGCGACAGGGCCTTCAGGTGGAAACAGGTCCTGGCCTACTGGATCTGTCCGGCTTCAAAGTGGCTGAGGAGGACTTTTTGGTGGACGACACGTGGCGGTATGAGGACGATGATGAGGATAAATCAAGAAAGGAGCATGGGGTGGCGGATGTCCAGAGAGATGATCTGGATAGCGACGAGGATCTCCCATTGGCATCAAGGCCAATGCACCGCTCAAGCCATGACACAATTTCTTTGGACGATGGTGATGGCAACGGCGGAGAGGCTTTGAGTGCTGGCTTGAGGCGTGGACTGAAGCAACCAAGTAGTAGCCGCGGCAGCACGACAATGTCCACGAGCGGAGAAGGGCATGCCCTCACGCCCAGGCCAACCGGCTTGCAGCGACGCGAAAGTGACGTCGCCAGTACGCGGTCCAGTGTGACGGTTGCGGCACAGGCGCGCTTGTCCCTCGCCAACGTGTACGTCCAGCCTACCCTCGCTTGCTGGTTAGCGCTGACCGTTGCTCATGGACCGGGCGCATGGACCATGTGGTGACTCTTGTTGGAATGCGATGGTGTCTGTGTATGAATTTTAATTTGTAATAGACATGGCGGAGAGGATGACGTTGTGCTCCGACGTCAGGACAACATTGGAACGCCAAACCCGGGGCATTTGGTACGTCTGAAACCGCGTAGAGTCGAGGCTGGTTCGCTCAACTGACCGGGGCCAACTGGGGACCATGTTCACGTTGCGGGACTGGTTGGGACTTGACTTGCTTGATGTCTGCATACACGTTTTGATTTGCCCAGCATGCCACGGACTTGATGTGGGAGGATGATTGGGATACGCGGTGGTCGCCGGAGCCGTCTCATCTGGATTCAAGTGATTCCGAGGACGAGGACCAGGCCAGCAGCCTCTTTGACTCCGACATGCGCCGCCGTGCAGGGTACGTCGGAGTTGGGGGTCAGGAGTTGCACCGGGGTCGTGACGGGTAGGGACTCGGGACACTTTTCATTTGAGACATCTGACATGACGGTTTGTTGGTGTTGGTGCACATGAGTAGCTCGCTGTCCGAGCTGGAGTCGTCTTTTTCCTCTGTTGGCCGCTCCATCTCGCGGACCGCGGATGCATCGTTGCGCGAAGTCATCTATGATCCGGGCTTGAATTGCTACTATGACCCAGCTACCAACCAGTACTTTCAACTGGCCTAAGGACCTTGACCAGCAGTGTGTGTGTGTGTGTGTGTGTGTGTGTGTGTGTGTGTGTGTGTGTGTGTGTGTGTGTGTGTGTGTGTGTGTGTGTGTGTGAGATGAAATTTTGACTGATATTGGCAGCGAGTGGCTGGTGTCGGTGCTGATTGGGCGCTATTTGCGTGCGTGAGGACTCTTTCTAAGTGAGCTTTAGTTTTTGAATTGCAAGTGACAAGAAACCCACAGTTTTTGAATTGCAAGTGACAAGAAACCCACACCCAGCTCCTCAATTCGCGTGGATGTCAATCGCAAATCACCTCATGGTCACGCCAAGGCGTCACTCATGGGAGCGGCTGCCTCACATGAGCCTTGGATGTCGTCATTCACAAGCCAGGACAGTGTTGGAAGGGATGACAGTTGGTAATTGCTGGAATGACGAGGCATGATGGCATGAGTCATCAAAGGCTCATCTCGCACAAAGTGCGAAACGACGAATGAACTCCTGATGACCCACGCATCACGGTGCATAATTGTGGGACATCTGAAGCTTCCTACAAGATCGTCATTACGTGGGTTTCAGGGTTCAATGGCTTTATCATGAAGGCTGATGCGGTGCACCCTCAAGGGGTGCGAAATGGGGTCAACATTTGGCGCCATGTTGTGGGTCTCAAGCTGGGCGCTCAGAAGAACTACCCCATAAGCATAAGCGCGGGTCGCGAAGCACATGGTCAGGGCACAACAGCTTCGTAATCCTGACGTAAACCCATTCTGAACTCCAATACATTTGACCATTATGTAACGTCAGGGTTATCAGTGAGGCGTCCGATGTAACGTTTGATACCAGCCCATCCACCCCATAGCACTCCTCTCCCTTACTGGCTCACGGAACCCACATGTAGCGTCACAAAATTGGTTGGTGCTCACGTGATACAGGTGAGCAAACTAAAAAGAACCAAAACCTGCATGTCAAAAAAAAACTCCTCCTCCTTCCCCCATTGACGAACTTGGGTTTGAGTGTCCCTTCTTCTTCTCCTTCTTCTTCCGTTTCTTCTGTTTCTTCGTTCGTTTGTTATGCGTGTGGGTGATGGTGTTTTCTCCGACGTTGCTTACTTCCTGCATGCGCCCAGCAGCTGTTCCCAACCATAATCGTCGCCCGACACAATGAGTAGCTCCTCATGTTGTTGCTGTTGTTGTTTTTTTGTCGTCTGTGGGTGCATGTTTCGTTTTCGTCCATGGTGTTTAGGTGTGGGTTGGTGCATCACCACCTCCACCACCCCAGTTGGTCGTCGCCTTGCGTGATTGGCATTTTTTCCTTGGTCGACATTTGTTGAACGTCGTGACGAGCTGTGGCTTGGTTTTCGCTTGGCTGCCCTTTTGCCATCATTCGCTCCTCTCGTCTTGATTTGGACTGTTCAGGTAAGCCCAGCTCTCGCGCAAGCCAAAGTTCATACCCTTCCTTTTCCTTGGGAATTTGCGTTGTCACCTTGTGCTGCCAGAGCGCTTGAGCTGGAATGGTTGCCTCCAGGCGCATGGTATTGACCTTGAGACAATCATGTCATATCGCCTCCCGCCCCCCTCCTTCTCTCTCTCTCTCTCTGTCTTTCTCTCTTCGTCTTTACCTCTCATGAAATCGCCTGGCCGCTTTCTTTGATGAACAGCCCGCCGCCCTGACCGCCGTGCGTACGTACCACCGCGGACAAAATATCCATCCCTGATCTCAACACGACTTGATAACCACCACACCAGGTAACAACAAAACCGGCATGAAGACGTGTGTTTCGTGTGTGTAGTGTGTAGCGTGTAATGTGTGTGTATGTGTGTGTGTGTCTGTGTCTGTGTGTGTGTCTGTGTGTGTGTGTGTGTGTGTGTCTGTGTGTGTGTGTGTGTGTGTGTGTGTGTGTGTGTGTGTGTGTGTGTGTGTGTGTGAAACAACATCGCGTTCTTTTTTTTTTTTTTTTCGCTTGGTACGTGTTTGCAACTGACTGCCCTTGTGCATCAGGGGCGTTTTGTGTCTTTGGCATCGTCACGCCCAGGTTTTGTGGCATGTGAGTGCTTGCGTATTGGCTTCTCCGGGTTGTTCAGGTGTTGTGTTGTGTTGTGCTGGGCCTTGCGATGCTGGGACGGAGGTGATCTGTGTTTGTTCAGTTTGGGATGGATCGTATGACATTGGTGGTCTGCCAAATGGCAGCCCACCACCTTGCTCCTGTCGCAAGTGAATACCTCGAAGCTTTCCGTGCTATGTGCAACGCACATGCATGAATGCGTGCCGACTCGACTTTTCCATCTTCCCTTCCCGCGTACCCGGCATTATTGGTTGTTGAGAATGACACGACCGCGCTGCCATTTTTTTTTTTTTTGGAGTGTTGGATCGGGTTGGGGTTTGCTGGTGGCCCATCGTGTTGTTTCCATGTATTCCTTTTGCTCTGCTTCTTGTGCCGGGTGCCGGGCGATGAAAGATTCCAACATTTTGTTCTCCTCACCAATCTTGCGCATCGAATCGCCTCCTCTTAGAACCTTGTAGCACGAATCAAGTTCCACCGCCGTCATGGGGGCAAACAATGCTAACAAACGTGACAAGCTCAATCGGCGCTATGCACAACATCGTCACACGGAAACTATTCGCCGACATCGCATGAAGGCTGCACTTACCACCATGCGCACCTTTCTTGAACTTGGGGATGACGTCGAACAAGCCGCCGTCATGGAAGCCGCTGCAGAAGCCCTCTCCGAAGCCCGTGCCAAAGCTGCTCAGGCCGCCGCTCAGGCCACTGCATCGGCGGCCACCTCGTCCACGCCCCAATCCGGTTCTTCCATGATGGCTGATGCCGCATCACCCGTGAGTAGCGATGCCATGAGCAGCCGCGGCTCAAATTATGATTCTACAGAAACGCCGCTGACCGCAGCCTCGGGCATCGGCTCCGCCACCAACCCGACCACATCTTGGGAATCCGTTCTGGGCCCCATGAATACCGGTGGTCATCCCATGCTTCCCGTCACCAACGGCCTCAGCATCGCCGACTTTGACCTCCCCGAGCTTAACCTCTCCACATTTGACTTTGGTGGTGGTGATATGCAGGCTGTCTTGCATAGTCCCTTTTTGCCACGGGATAGTGCTCTCTTTGTCACCGACGTGGACTCGCTCAAGATCCTAGACTGCAATGAAGCCACCGTTAGCCTGTTCCGGGCCCCCTCCCGAGCCACCATTGTTAACCAGTCCGCTTTTGAACTCAAGCTCCACACGGCCGAACAGCAGCGTCGCGTCCAGGCGTACGTCCACGACGCCCTCGCAAGACGTAACGTTCAACTGCTACAATCAATCGAAGAGCTCAACACCCTGGATGGCAACACCGTTTGGACCAAGCTCACATTCATCGTCGTTTGTCGAAGTCATTCCAGCACCAGTGGCCGGAATGTCATGGTCGTGGTGGCTCAACCCATTCCTCCACCCGCTGAAAGAAAGCCCCGCGTTGTTGTCATGGCCTGATTGGGCTGATTCAATTCTGCCAAGAACCGTGCCTGTCTGCCGAGCAAGCAGGCTCTCCCTATTCTTGTCCGGATTGCCGACACGCCCTTTCTGACCGTTTGCATTCGTTTCAGTCTTTGCCTTCGGTTTTTTTTTGGTCTGTTTTCTTCTTTTTGGCTGGACCTCTAGCTCATGCTGGTTTGACTGGTTGAGCGGGTCTGAGTGGATCATGGTTTGATCAGCCCCTTGTTCATGGTTGTGTTTCCATTTGTTTCTGTGCCTCAGTCTTGATGAGACGAGGTAGCAGCCTTTGTGATTGTGGCTGGACCCAATTGCCCATAATAATTTGTACTTTGTGATTTGCCGCAATGCATGGCGCTCTTGTGAGTGCACGCGCCAGTGACCCTTTTGACTCTTCTTGATTTTTTTTTTTCATTTTTCCTCTTCTTCTGCGTGTGGCTTCTCCTCCCGACCTGCTCCCTGTTTGTGCTCGATGCCACTCTCCTTTGTCTCATCTGAAATCTATCAAGTTCTATTGACTTTTTTTCTTTCTTTTTCTCCGAGTCTCAGTGGCAGGGCCGCAAGCCCGTGGTTTCTAGTGACAATGCCAGTCGCCTCGAAGAAGCTCAGAGCAATGAGCAAACTGTTTATTTGTGGCCGAAGAGATCCTTCCGTTTGATGAAAGTCACAGACAAACAGAGGCCCCTTTCCTCCTCGCGATACATCTCGGATGAATAATTATCAGCTAATTCTCTTTCTTGCCTTCCCTTGCCCGGCTTGACATGTGCATCAAGTCCCTGGCGTGAAGGTGTTGGAAGCCGTATAAAACTCAGACGGTGTCTGATCAACTGATGCAAGTGTACATACGCCCTTCGCCCTTCACGAGTGCTGATTTGCTGCGTTTCCTTGGAAGCCAAAAACTTCGATCCCCTTGCTTCCTGACGACTCATTCCTTGCAAACTGATGATCCCCATGTAAGAGCTTGGGGGCGGGGCGGGGGGCGAGGGGCGTGGTCTCGTGAAGCCAATGCAACGTCAAGCTAACAAGGTCGGGGTCAAGTGACCGACAGAGGAGTGGTGGCTATGGGGAGGAAGGACCACGCTGGGTTGGGTGAGTGGGAGCAGGAGTGATTTTTTTTTTTCTCTAGCGCAGGGAGAGGTAAACAGAACAGGTGTTGAGGATAGATCGGTTAGAATAGGTGTTGTCAACACCAGCGTGTCTGATTGCGACATAGTTGCGACAGCGATGTCTTGCTGCAACACAACCGTCCTCAACGTTGTCAGACGAAATTGACAAGCCTCTCTGAGAACATGTCGGCGCAAGACATCCTCTCTGACTGCGTACAAGGTCCAGTCCACAATCTCTGAAATTGCTTCTTCTCACCTCGTAAAACTTTTTGTTTTTGACGATAAATTCTCTAAAGCTCTACCTCATCCATCATTTCCTCTCAACATCACACATCAACGTGCGTCATCTCTCAATCATACACACCTTTTTGCGCTGCTCGCTCTCGCTCTCGCTCACTCTCGCTCTCACTCTCGCTCTCACTCTCGCTCTCTGTGTGTCTCTTGTACGCACTCAAAGGCTCAAGATGGATGTGGCGGTGATTGGCGGCGGAGTCATTGGGCTGTCAACGGCCTTGGAGATTCGGCATCGGGTTGCTGATGCCAAGATCACAGTCATTGCCGAGCATTACACACCACACACGACGTCCGATGGGGCAGGCGGTTCGTTTGGTGCTCTCCTCTGGCACTGACCCCGCTGCTTCAGCGGAAGCAGAAGCCTCACAGCGTGTTGCCCCGCATCCCCGCTGACCTTTAACATCCCAGCCCTGTGGCGGCCCATCTTCCTTCAAGACACCCCAGAGGAAGACCAGCGGTACGCATGCGAGCCTCTGCCAACACTCGCCAGCCATGCCTCGTCACAAGTGTTTGATCCGGCGCGTGTGGCTGCACAGACGCTGGTGCAAGGCAACATACGACTACCTCATGAGAATCGTCCGCCATGGTGGCAACAAAGATGCTGGTCCGATCTCGCGCGCTGATCAAGCCCTATTTGATTTGCTCAAAACAGTCTCACCATATTGATCCTCGGCGTGACAGGCGTCTTCCTCTGTGGTGGCTACGACCTGCAAGGCACTGACTGCAGTGAACCTTATTGGAAAGACATGGTGGGTGCCCCCACCCCCACCGGCCCCCCCTTCCCCCGCGCTCCTCGTGACGTAGCCCTCTCCCTCCATGTCCTTGGGCGCATCGCATGTCATGATGAGCCATTTTTCGTGCCCACGTCCCTTGCCCCTTTTCTTTTGCCACAGGTCTTTGGCTTTCGACATGTATCACAAAGCGAACTGCGCAGCATTGGCGGCGCCGACTGGGCCCAAGCCAAGACGGCGTGGCACTACACCACCATCATGATTGATTCTTCCACCCTCCTCGAATATCTCATGGCGCGATGCCGTGAGCGCGGTATCGTTTTTGAGCAACGCAAAGTAAGCCTGCCGTCAACATCAATAGCAATCGGTCATCGCTCGTGGACGCACTCAAACCCCAAACTTACGATGCGTCGGTCCATGTCAGATTGAAAGCTTCGAGCCCCTCTTTGAGCAATACTCGGTCGTTGTGAATTGTACGGGAAGTGGTTCTCGGCAGCTGGCCCAGGATGACCTTGTCCACCGCGCTCGTGGCGTCACGCTCCATTGCCAGGCGCCCTGGCTCAAACACGTATGTTGCATGGCAGCACCAATGCAGCGTGTGCCTTTTGCCATTGTGCCCCAAGACAAGCTGACCCTGCTCTTTGTTTCAACTTTGATGACGTGAGCCCAGTTTCTGATTGCCAGTGATCTTCCTGATTTTGGCCCGGGCGAGTTTTCGCACATGTTTCCTCGATCCGAGGTGGCCATTGTTGGCGGCATTAAGGTCCTCGAGGACGATCGCACCAGCGCCTCGGCTGACGAAATCGAAACGTCCGTCGCTATTGTGTCGCCCCTGCTCGGACCCCTTGAGACCGCCAATGCTCTCCGCACAGCGGGCTTGTGTGTTTGGACTTTTTTTTTCCTGCTTAGTTGAAGCTGACGGTGCATCCGTCATTGTTTGCGGGCATTATCGCCGCTTTTCATAGGATCCTAAGGCGAACGATGCGCATGGAGCCCTCCCTGCGGAGCGCACGGGTGCTCAAAACCTGGACAGGCTTCCGCCCCGTGCGCAGTCGCGTCCGTCTCGAAGCAGAGGAACGCGAGCACAACGGTCAACGTCGGTACGTCTCTTTGGATCGCTGTTCTCAGCTTGCCCTCGGTTGCCTGTCGCCTCCACCCTTGGCTCCAGCTGAGCAACACCAAACTTTTCCTCACCACTCGCTCCGTTTTGACCAGCTGTCTGATTCACAACTACGGCCATGGAGGCTCTGGGCTGACCATTTGGCAAGGCTGCGCTGAAGATGCTGCCAATCTTCTTGTCGCCTGGACCGCCATGTACCGGTCTCATCTTTAGATCATCATTAGTCTTGCTGGTCTCGTCGACTTAGTTGATGGCGCGCACAGCATCCTTGAGAAAAAGAGTTGTAGCAAAAAACAAAAAAAGAACCAAAAAAAAAAACAAACTATCCCACCCAAGTGCAATGCCCGAACACGCACGCATACTCCTGCCACACAGGTGCCATGCAGATGCACCATCCAGCGCCAACACGATCAGATGCACGGCCAGATGCACCCATATCTCCATCATCGCAGCGAAAAGCTCCAACGGAAAGGTCGTTGTCAGACTGTAACGGTCATGTGTATTTCGTCTTGCTTGCTCTGATTGATCGCGGTGTTCTCAACATATCTCTAAACTACTCATCAAAACTCTAATGTTCACAAAACTTGTGTACCTCCATCCTCACGAATCTCTGAAACTCACATCTCAGCGCGCATTGTCTCTGAGCAAGAGACCGCCCAAACAAGTTCAGAAAAAAGGACGAAATCGCTCACAAATGGCGGCGGCGGCAGCAGCGAGTGCAGGCTCGCCCCGCTCGTTTGCAGCCTGCAGTGGTTCCGTGGTACAGATCTTTTCCATCAGCAAGTCAGAGCCAGAGCAGGTGTTTAGCCCCAATCGCGGAGATGTGTCCGCCGTCGGGTACGTGACTCGCTCTGCCGACTTGACACGATGTGACCTGTGCCGCGCGCCATGTCTCCTCATCACAACTCTGTGCCCACCATCACGCTTGCGAGACCAGTTGGTCCACGAGCAATAAGGTGCTGATGGCTGCAGGGCGGCACGACGGCTACCTTTCCCTCAGCACAGCTAATGTACGTGTGGCTCCTCACAGCGCCCACGTTCCTCTCACCTGATCCGCCGAGACTTGCTCATCACACCATTCTGAATAGGGTCAACCACTGCTACGCCTGCCGCAAGACGATGGCAGTCGAGACCATGCAAGTCCATCTGTTGGCCTCACAGCCTCTCGCAAACTCCATGCTCAATTTATCGTGCATGCCATCCCTTACTCGAGTCTCTTTCCTGCACGGTCACAGGATGCTCTGAATGCTCTGGCCGTGGGCAGTGCCACTCATGTTGCAACAGGCTCTGCTGCTGGCACGGTTGCTATCTGGAGTTTAAAAGAAAAGGCGATGGTCTGCAGCTTCAAAGTGAGTCACCTTGCTGCCGCGCTCAAACAAACCAACTCGATGAAACTGATGGATTTCTGCGACGCTAGGATACTGGCAGTGTGTTGACCGTCGACTACGACCAAGACATGTCGGCCCTTGCCTGGGCTGGTACGAACTCCTTTCGCTCACTCTCGCGATCCGCTCTGCTCTGCGATCATTTATGCTTCACCTGTGATTTCCGCTCACCCATGCTCACCCTGCTCACCAAGGTGCCTCGGCCAATGTCTGCGTGAGCACGGCCATTGATGCTCAACACTTTGTCAAGCTTCACCACCCCGCTGATATGACGGTGCGCTCAACACCAGCCCCCACATTCAGGATAGAGCACGCTGTGCCCTGGTGTCGACTCACGCTTTATCTTCCATCCAAAGGCTGTTCGCTGTGTGCAACTCTCGAGGCGCCGACCCACACTGGTGGCCGCCGGGAGCGACAGTGGACTATACAGCGTGTACGACCATTCCACCGAGCAACTCCTCTATAGTGCCAAAGAGCACACAGCTGGCAGTTCGTTTCACCTCCTCTCCCCCTGCTCCCAATCTCTTCGCCTCGCCCGAAAGCAGTATTCCCCCTTGTGTATAGTTGCCCCCTCATTCCCCTGCGCTTACACACGCACACCTGTTTGCCTTGAAAGTCACGACGGTGGCCTTCTCTCCGGCCAACGGGGTGTTGAGCTGCACCGCCTCCTTGGACGGCACGCTTGGCTTTTGGGATGGCCGAAATCAAAAGTCAGTTTGCCCACCGGCATTGCCTTGCCCGTTTTTTTTTTTTGTTTTTTTTTTCTTTTTTCCAACAGCATGTAAAATAACCTGGGCGCCGTCCAACCAACCCCTTGCCCAGATTGGCCATGTCCATTCCCGTGCAAACGCCAGTAACATCCATGTGCTTCTATGACGCCAAATCCATTCTGGCCGGCCTTTCGACCGGTTGGCTGTGCTTGCACCCCTACCATTCTTCCCTTGCCTTCAAGTCGCAAAGATGACATTGAAAAGTCTTGCTGCAGATCTTTGCGGCAAGCGGCGCACATTCTCACGCTTGACGTCCAATGGCAGGTCAAGTCGTTCAAGTTGACATTCGCAGCAAAGCCATCACACAGCGATGGACCGTGGGGGCCCAAGCCGTTTCCTGCATTGCGCTCCAACATCAAAAACGTAGTCGGAGCATGCCTGCTAGCAAGGTGTGCATGAGCGAGAGCTTGCCGGCCTCGACCCATCTGCCCCGCCAGAATTCGTTTGCTACGGTGTGCCTCGCCGACAGACCTTCACGTTGTTCTTTGCCCTGATCTTGGGTGGAATCTGCGCTTGTTACACAGGTGGCGTCCCATGATCGCGCCGCCACCTCGTCTGCTGTCACCCCACAAGCAGCGCAACCAGCGGCTAGTGCACCAGCGACCATGGCTGCAACAGCCAACGTGGCTCGTTCAACCACAAACGCCACAAGCGCAACAACCACGCCGACCGCACCTCAGCTGCCTGAGCCCGGCAGGATGCTGCCCACCTCAACGCCCGCTCGCGCTCCTGCGTCTGCCAATCGTGGCAGCACATCAGCAGCTGCCCCAGCACCTCCCTCAGTTGAAGCCAAAGTTGCCCCCAAAGCCAAACCAGATGCAAGCCCTAGTGCCATTTCCCCACCCAGTACGTATATGCATGAGGCCTATTTAATCCAACTGCCCAATGATCTGCCATGTGAACTGAGCCAGGTTCAGGTTTGGCCGGAACATACATGTCCTCTCACTCCAAATGTACACTGCGCTAGCTGCTTTGCCATCCCTCTCGGCCACGATTGCCAATCAGATGAAGGGTAGGCTCTGGCCATCATTGACCCCTTGTATGCGTTGCCTGTGACCTGCACACAGCCACACTCATGCCTCATTTGATCACCATGCATGGCGCCCCTGAACAGAAATGTTTACACCCGCTCCCAACAAAGCACGCATCCGACGTGAGCCTGCGGCCTCCTTGGCCGCAACCACATCAAAAACGGGCAGCGCGCCTGCCAGCATGGACGATTTACGCTCGCGACTCGCTCAGCTGCAAGCCGCCATGGAGCGTGCACCTTCTCCAAAACAACAACCCACATCCTTTCCCAGCCCACGGCGAGACTCTGCAACCAATAGCACAGCCCCGGTCGCCAGCCCACCGAGCCAGTCACAATCAAAGTTGCCCGTTGAAGCGGCGGCTAATACCACGCCATCTACGGCTCCACCCAAGCCCACCGAGCCCATTCGCCAACCTTCATCCTTTGCCGTGTCCGCTTCAGAAGCCATGTTGCGCGGCACCCCTTCTTTGACGCCGCATGTGCCACCCCCAACTGTTTCAGGCTCTACAGACCGGAGTGCCGCCGACACATCGCAGCCAACTCAAGCTAATACCAGCGCCGCTCGAGAGCTGCTTGAGCTTGAGCGCCACAAGTTGGAGCGCGCCAACATCGAGAATCGTCACGCGGGGGCAAACATGCCCCTGGATGCTGGTGTTCAGGCCGATTTCATTCGCAACGTGGTCCAAAGCACGCTGGATGATTTCCGTTTCTCCCTCCATCGTGATGTGCACAACTTGCACGTTGAACTCATCCGCCAGTTTGAGCTTCAAAAGGCAAGAACGCTCACAGGCCCCGTGCTATCCCCCTTGTTTGCAACTCGTCTCACCCAGTGCGTCATCTGCACATCCACTTGCAGGCGGAATTGGAAGCATCATTTGAATCGCTATCTATTCGCGAAGAAACTCTCACAGAGCTCGAGTTGCTGCGGGAGGAAAATCGCCAGTTACGGCTGCAACTCCAACTTCCGTAATCAACCCGTGCCTCGGCTAACAAGAGTTGTTGTTTTCCGTTTTCATGTTTATTTTTGTGTGCTATGCCTGATGCCATTTTTGTGCATCGTCCGTTGGATGAGAGTACTCGTGCGCAATTGACTGGTCTGCAAGTTGACGCGTTCCAATTTTGTATGGTTCCTCGGAGTCTTCTTCCAAGGAACAAAAATTTGGACCCCCTCAGGGGGCTAAAAACAAAAGCTCTTAGAAAAATGATCGTATTTTGCCTCTGTGACTTGCTTGCAAAAGAGCGATGCGCTTGGAAACCATGCTTCTTAGTTCTTGACAGGCCGGCCGCGCCAATACTTCTGCTTGGGGCCTTTGCTGAGACCCAGACTACGCACGCCACGCTTGGCTCGCTTGCGCTCAGCCTCGGATGGTTCGTTTGCACTGCGTTACAGGAAAACACAAGCCACCACAGGCAACAAGCAAGAAATGAGAACTGAATGTCAGCAGGAACAGATGCAAGGGGGGGGATTGACAGCAAACATACGCCTCGGTATCTTCTGACGCCTTCTTGGTCTGCGGTTGAGAGAAGCAAGCACGAATGCGTTGTGAAAAAGTCGCCTGCTTCGCTGAGCAATGCCAATGTGCCTTCTGATCCACACCTACCTCAAAGCGGATAACCTTGCCACCTGCGCCTGTGGATGCCACCTGCGCCTGTCGAGGCGCCGTCGGTTCCTTGGCCAAAAGTGAGGCAAAACTCTTGCCTCGACGCTTGAGGTTTTGTTCCGTGACCTTGGCCCGGGATGTCAGAGCGCGAACCTCCTCGCCCTCCTTGAGCTCGTACATGGTAACATCATCTGCCTTCTTGCTAGTGCGACGCTTCTCAGCACGCTGGCCAGTCGGAGCAGTCTGAGGCTTTGGCTCCTGAGTCGCTTCGGGCACCGTGTTATACAGCTTGCGCCCGGTCACGAGTTCCAAGTCGTCATCGCTATCTTCATCACTGGCGCGACCCTCAATCTCGTCGTCTTCATCAGCCACCAAGGCAAACTTCTCCTGCAGCAAATCTGAAGCGCCTTGAGCGCGAGCAGCCGGGTGGCGCAGACGATATTCATCACTGTTGATGTCAATCTCAAAATCAGGGTTCGAAAAGAGCGCCTTGAAACGGTCGTCGCCCAGTGGGTTACTCATTGCCGGTGTGTCCTTTTCATCTGCAGCTGCTGCAGTGTTTTCGGCTGTGCCCGACCGAGGAGAAAAGCAGATTGAGAGCCACGTGAGGTTTCGCACCCGACACAATGCAATGAGAGTGCGGACTGTACAAGCGGTGTGACCAGCCCGATGACTCCTGACCTTGGTTCTCGTTAAACTCAACCAGACGCTTAGCCAACGCCCTGTTGATCTTTGGCAATTCCTTGCGATACTTGGCCAATTGAAGTCGAGACTCAGTACCCTCTTCAAGCTTCTTGCGAATAAGGCGTTGACTACAACCAGCAGCAAGAACAATGCGGTGAGCGATTGGACAAAGCACTTTCACCTCCTTGGTTTGCTCAGCGAGGAGCACGAGGCAGGCGATGCTGAGCAACGATTTCAGTAATGACGCACCGATATTCTTCGTAGGCAAAGGGGTTGCTGGCATCCTTGGCCTCGTTGTAAAGGCGCACATCGATAAAGTAGCCGTGCATATGTGCTTTGAGCAAGGCAGTGCCCACCAAGCTGCTCAGACCAAGAGCGTCAAGCTCTTCACGCGTGACAAACTTGTAATCATCGTACACAGCTGGCTGCGCGCCGTCGTCCAGCTCCTCCGTGATGGAGTCCAGGTAGTGACACCACTTGGGCGCAGGGCCCAGAGAGGGGACAAAATAAATCATCATCTTGGACTGCTCACCTCCGACAAAAAACATGCCTGCCAAGTCAACCATACAAGCACATGAAGATAAAATACCTTATGGTCTTCGGTGTGCTCACGCGCTCAAGCATGAACCCGAAAAAAAGCAAAAGGAGGGAGGGGGGACATCCTTACCCGAATCAGGATACATGTCCATGTCATTGATATCAGCATCGGCCTCAATGGCAGTAATGGCCTCACCAGACTCACGCTTCCAGATCTTGATCACCTTCTGATCTGCGGCCAGCACCTGTGTGTTCCAGAGCCGCACAACAGCAAACATGGCCATGAGCCATTGGCACTGGACCTCGGCATCACCTGCTTTGAGATACAAGACGCACCGAATCGGAAGCGGCGTGGTGCACAATTCGCTTGATAGGAAGGCCGTAGCTGTGATCCTTGGTCAGAACCTTTAGAAAACAATCAAAGCAACGCCCTAGTGAGTCAAGCGACCATCATTTCAACGCGATGGTCTTGAGCCCAAAGACATGTGTCATGTGCCGATTGGAAAACGCACCGGCTCTGCGGCACGAATGTCATACAACAAGACTTGGCCGCCCGTAGTGCCCACGCCGAGGGTCAGATTGTCTTGCATAAAAGTCATGGTCGAGATGGCCGGAATTTGACCCTTGCTATTACATGTGCGAAAGGTGTACCGGCCGGATGAGCGTGTGGGTCAGAAGTATTGGCTGAGAGCTTTCATCAAGACACGTGCAAAACCTTACAGCTGGCGCTGGGCACGGGCGGAGAGACCGCGTGTGACATCAAGCACACCAATGCGCTCACGAGCCCGAGGGTCAAAGCACTCCACCATGCCCTATTGAGCCGAATATGACATGTTATTTGAGATACAAGGTCCCACAGTGAAAGCAAACAAGAGGTGGATGCCACTTCCATGAACGCATACCAAGGTGGTTCCAGCGGCCAGCATGCCATAGTAGTCGTTGATCAGCACCTTGTTGACGGCAGGCGCTTGTGTGGTCTGTGCAGCGTGGAGATGAGGAAATGAGAAGTTGACATATGGAAGGTCGAGGCTGCAAGAGCCGACCTTTGGGACGAGAAAAAAAAAACAAAAAAAAAAAAAAAAAAACTCACCCAAGACTTGAGGAAGCGTCCTTGCTCCAAGTTGATGCGATAGATTTCGGGCCCAGTGGCTCCAACATAAAGATCACATGTTTCGTGATTATATGCGATACTGCGGCCATTCTTGGGCGTACGCGTCTGTGATGGCCAGGCAAGACGTGTTTGTGAGCACGAGTACGGCATTCTGCCACGCCCGTGTCTTTGAGACCACCCAGACTGGAGCACGCATACTCGACATAGGCTTGGCTCAACTGACTCGGTGATGGTAGCCGTAGGAGGCATGAACTTCAACGTAGCGATCAGCCATGAGAAAGACTTGCTTGCTGTAATTGTCGGAGAGGTAGGCCATATCCACCACTAAAAGTGCAACATTTCCCAAGTGGGCAAGCGCGGTGAGGTGCCGAGGCCGCAGCACCCGATTGCTGGTGCTCTCAAGGTTGGCTAGGCACGGCGTTTCTCACGCGGGCAACACCATTTGATATTCCCTTTCTGAGGTCATGTATGCCAACGAACCTTCGCAATTGAGGTGGCGCTCAAACTTGAGGGACATCTGATCGAGGTCGTAGCAGCGAATGCGAGGCTTGTAGGTACCTAGAGACGCAAAAGACGGATGAGACCACATCGAGCAACGTAGCGGTCTACAAGAGCCAAAGGTCTGAGGCACTCACCCGCGGCCATGATATACTCGCCATCGGGCGAGACTCGAATGCAATCGGCCGCAGTGGGCATTTCAAAGTCTTGAATGAGTTCGATGCGACGCTGCAACAAACCATGCAAGATGATGTTGCAAGGTGCTTGTGAGAGGTTTCAAACCCTCATGGGGCACTTCAGAAGCCAGCAAGGCAGAGCGCGCAAGAGCCTTGAGAGGCTCGCGAGGTCAGACGTACCTGCAGGTCAACATCACGCTTCAAAAGCTGTCGGCGTTTCTTTTCGCTCAGCCAAGACGGCAGAGCTTTACCAGCTGTCAAGTTGAAGACGCGAACGTCATTCAACTCCAAGAGCTAAAAGGCCAAACGCCAGAATCGGTAACCCAAGAGACCAGCACGTCAGCACCGCTCGTCCAAGAAGAAAAAAAAAGAAAAAAAAAAAACAAGGCAGTCAGGCCCCAGACCACAAAGAGCCTGTCCAAACTGCCGGAGCGCAAAGACGGCAGGGCCAATCCAAGACCAACCTGCATGCCCGACATGGCGCCGGTCTCGTCGCCTCGAGATCCAGAAGACTTGGACGAGCCGGAAGAAGAGAAAGTGCCGAACGTGACGAAGAAAGTGAGAGAGCATGCAAGAGTTGGTCATAGATTCAGAGGGACGATGTCTGGAGCTTCAAGCGACCACGCTGAAGCCCTGCTAAAAGCAGAGACATGAGCCCTTGATGTCTAAAACCCAGAGATGCTTGATAAAATCCAACCACAATCAAGAGATGGACAAAGGCAACGCCACCATCACCACGTGTGTATAAGCACTCACCACCAGCACAATGAGAAATGTCAGATACAATTGTCAGATAAAATCACACACTGCTACCATGTGGTATGGAGCTGTTTTGGGCAGAGCACGAATGCAGTGAAAGTGGCATTTTCTGAGGTGCGTGTGGCGCGGCGTTTGTAAAAAAAAAAAAAAAAAATGGCAGCGCGGCAAGCGGCGCAGACAAGCGGGCCCGTGTTGGGTTATTGAGCCGCCTTTGGCGGGCGCACGTTCAAGTCTACCTTGCTTGTTAATACAGGTGCGAGTCTATGTGACTTTTTCATTTCACGTGCCGTTTGCCGCTGCCTCCGCTTTTCGAGTAGACGTCGACTTCAGCTGCACCCTCAACCATGTATATCAACATTCTTCTGCCGCACATGCGCGAAGCCGTTGAGGTGCAGTGCCCTGAAGCCTCTGACTTTGTGGTATGTGCCCTGACTCTTCTTCTTTCTGATGCATCCGTGGGCGCCTAAAGGCCGTGGGTCTCACCGGTCGCCTGTTCCTCGTCACCCTTCAGCAACTCGGCAAGGTGATCAAGAAGGCTGTACCTGACCAAGGAGACCTCCTTCGCACACACACGGGCTTTCATCATAGGTCTGTCTCAGCCCCTCACCTTGACTTTTGTCCTCCAGCGCCCAAAGTTTTGGGCCGACTGATATCTGTGCCTGGTGACAGTGCGCAAGGCTTGGAGACAGTGGTTGATTTTACCAGCTCTGAGCGTGTCACCACATTGATTCGGGATGATGATACCGTCGAATTTCGCCGAGGTCTGTTGTCAAACACACCCTACTGTTTTATCGTTGCCAGCACGCACGTTGACCCACCTGGCCTCACGCTTTCCCGCCCTCTGCACCCTCTGGACAAGGCGTACCGGCCTACCTGACGGCCGCTGAGGAAGCGCGCCCCATTCAGATTGTTGACTTTGACTCAAGCTCCTCGACCTTTGTCTTGAATGATGCTGCTGTGACCGCTGTGCTCGAAGCATCTGCCGTGCAGGATCTACCCGTGGCCGTTGTCTCCCTCGCAGGTGCGCCTTCCCTGACTGAGCTTGGAGATGTACTCTTGCCTTGAACCCCCTCCTCCCTGGACACGCTCAAACTGCAATGCGCTCTAGGCCCCTTCCGCACAGGCAAATCCTTTATGCTCAACTTCTTCCTCCGCTATTTGGAAGACCCGGTACGCGCGGGCGCGCGCGTCTGCATCCGCCTCCCGCCATGCCATCTCGTCTTCAGCATCATATACAACCCTGCTGCCACAATCTAGGTCAACTGGCAGCTAAAACACTCTGACGTGGTGGAAGGTGGCTTCCGCTGGCGCCATGGTGTCGAACGCGACACGACGGGTGAGCCTCTGTTGGCGACAGGAGTATTCCTTTCGAGGACCTTTCTCATCTCATTGGGAGTGTAGGCGTGTGGATGTGGAACAAGCCTTTTGTTCGCAAGCTTCCCAGTGGCCGCGAAATCGCCATCGTTCTTATTGATACGCAGGTGGTTTTGCCTAGACATTTGACAAAGGGCTCTTAGAGTCCCACATTCGCCTCGTGGCAGCTTGCAACTGGGCTCAAGCAGCTCATTTAACCGTTCCATGGCAACCTCTTTTTGATGCTGTTTTGTACGACTGAGGGTGCAGGGCACATTTGACAAGCACATGTCCATGGACCAAAACACGCGCATCTTCGCCTTTAATGCGCTGATCAGCTCGATGCAAATCTACAACATCAAGGAGAAAATTTCCGAGGATATTTTGCAGGTGCGACCACTGATACCTACCCTTCGATCCTTGGCAGCGCTTACCGTGTCGAGTCTCGAAGCTCACTTTGATCGTGTTTCTGTTGTCGTCTGTCTTGACAGCAAATGCACCTGTTCACCGAGTTTGGCGCCATGATTGGACGCCAGCAGTCGACTGAGCGTCCCTTCCAAGAACTGAAGGTCGGTCACTTCTATGGTCTTTCTTGATTCGCAAGGCAAAGTCTTCTCTCCCACTCACTCGCGCACTCGCTCGCACATGTATTTTCTGTGCGTGGCCCTCCCGGGTTTGGTAAATTCAGTTTTTGGTGCGCGACTGGGAGTTTGAAGACTATCCCGCTGGTGCCGAGGGTGGCCAAGCCTATCTCGACTCAATTCTAGCCACCAGCGAAGGTGAGCGTCGGCCAGTTACCATCAGCTCGATCAATGCATTTTGCATTGTTATGTCTTGTTTTGCTGTCAACTCTTTTCCTTCTTTCCTGCCTGCGCTGCCCGTTGCTCCTACCTGTTTTTTTCCCGCCTTTCCTTTCTCGGCGAAAGATCGCATATTGCTAGAGTGTTGCTTTCACTTTCGCTCACGATGCCCTGCGGAACGCGCAACACACCAATGACCGACAGATCAACCAGAGGAACTGCGGGAAGTGCGCGAGTGGCTGCGCGGCTGCTACGAGGACATTTCCTGCTTCTTGTTGCCCGACCCGGGCAAGAAGGTTAAGAAATCCGAGTTTGCAGGCCAGCTTGATTTGCTGGAGGAGGACTTTCGCGAGCATCTCGATGTCTTTGTTCCTTCAGTCCTAAAAGACGATGCCTTGCTGGTCAAGCGCGTGGCCGGTGAAGAAGTTACCTGCCGTGGCCTGCGCGCATTTTTGGAGGCCTATGTTGCCGCGTTCAACGACGGCGAATTGCCCGAGGTCAGTCATTGCGACGTTCCTCCTGCTCGGATGACTAACAGCCGACGTTCTGCATGCCTGATGATGATGGTCATGGCTAGTTGGTCTGATGATGCTGCTGATGTGCCACTTTTTGTGTGTGCCTTAGATCAAATCAATTATGAAGGCCACAGCGGACGCCACACTGCAGGTCATCTCCTCTCGGGCATTTGAGACCTATGAAGCGCAAATGCGTGATGTTGTGGGGCCCAGCAAGCCTTTTGTGAACACGGAGACACTCAGCCAGGTTTGTGCCCTGACGCCACGGGGCGTTGACTGTGCGCAACTGTCACCGGACAGAGGGCTAATCCTTGTGCGTTTGCCGAAATAGTCACACGAACGTAGCCGCCAGGACGCGCTGAGCCTCTTCGACTCGGCGCAACTGATTGGTGGCTCCAAGGCCCGGGAAGCTGCTCGCGAACAGCTAGCCACGGACATTGAGGAAGAGTACGTCGTATCTACTGTCTGCCTCTGCCCGCTGCGGTGCCTCCTGACGACTTGTGTGATTTGTTGTGCTTAGATTTACACGTTTGAAGGGATACAACGCTGGTAAAGACCTGCTGCGGGGTCTGCAGACGCCGGTGGCCTTTGGCGCGCTGGCTCTGTTGGTACACATTGTCAGCGTGGTACTGGATGTCATTGAGCTGGATCCCATTGCACACATGCTTGCCTACGTCACGTACCTGAGCTTTGCGGCTGTTCTCGTGTGGTTTGCTGTCTCCCACTCTGGCCGCTATCCCGAGGTGGCAGAGAATCTGAACAAGGGAGGCGATCAGATCTGGCAGCTCGGCCGCCAAGGTGTCGAAATGTACCTCTCGCACAACGGCACCCGCGTGGCGCCAAGCAAGAAGCGCAACTAAATGGTTCTGCTTCTTTCTCCCATCCGTTTTTTGAGTGTGCTCTTAGTTTTGTACCCAGCCTTTCAGGCTCTGCCAGAGTGTGTTTGCGTCGGTCCTTTTATTCTGCGCCGTACTCTCTGTGTACCCAGCCATGAACCACCTTTTTCCAATTCGAATCCTTTTTTGCTTTTCTGATATTTTTGGGTTCTCCCTTGCTATCGGCAGCGAAACACCAAAGCTGCCTTAAGTTGCGCGACACAAAAGTGAAACTAAACTGCACTGAACTAAACTGTTCGAAAAAGGATCCACAATAGGCTTCCTTCTTAGCGTCTTCATTGCTGCTTGACGAGGCATTTTCGCATGAGTTGCTCTCACCTGTGTCTTGTAGCTACCGGTAATACTTTAGCCGTGCTACGTTGGGTCCGGAATGACTATTGCCGAAGTTTGCGGTCCTTGACTCGTGCCTTGCGAATCACGAATGAGAACAAACACGTCGAAAAAAAAAAAAAAAGTCACCAATTTTAAAATGATGACAATGACAAAGCTGATTTGGATCATTGTTGTCAAGAGCTCCTGACAACCATCCACACACACACACACACACACACAGCAAGCGGGCCGGCGAGATGGCGAGCGCCGACATTGGCAGCGGTTGGTGACCACATGCCACCCTCTACCCCCCCGCCCCTAGTGTCACAGCTTGGCGTTCTCTCCCCCCCCCCCTCCGCCGTCTCTCTCTTCTATCTTGTTCCGCCTCTCTGCTCCATCCGCCCCTTCCACACAATGCTCCTTTCGGGCCCGCCGCGATTCAGCACAAGATCTCGAGCCTCAAGCTCGCCTTCGACCCCCACCTCTGTTGTGAACTCATCGCGCTCTTTCGTGCTCGTAGCCATGTCTGCTCCGCGACGCGAAGGTGCTGCTAAGGCACTATCTGTACGTTTCCTTTTGCTGGTGTGTGTTGGGGCCAGGGCAACTGCGTTTTGACTTCTCATGCTGGCATTATGATTAGAGCACCCTGCGAAGCACCCGGGGTCATAAGGGCTTGGGCAGTACGCAACGCACGACCCAGTCTGGCACCAAGAGCCTCCGGAACACGCTTCGCAGCACTCGCGCCGCTGCTCAGCCCGAGAATCCTTTTGCTCTACCAGCAAATGACGAGCTTTTAACCGCGCGCGAACTTGCCAAAGCCGAGCAGAAAGAGGTGTGTCCACAACAGTGAGGTCGGCCAAGCAAGCGCACAGTCCCACTCACGACTATTTGTCTGGTGTGCATGCACATGTGCACTGCTTGTAGCTGCGAGCCACACTGCGCCAACTGCCGGTGCACGAACGCAGCACAGTCCTTCAACGCCCACCAGCCAAGGCCCTGGTGGCAGACATTGATGATGAGTTGGCCGCAGAACAAGGTGCGCGTGGCTGACCTTGTTGCGAGCAAGGCACTGGTCTGACTTGCATGAATCTTGCCTCTTCCCCCCTCTTTTAATTTTGCGTTCATCCTGTCACCTTCTGATTTGGCACAACGATCGAAAAATTCTCTTTTGGTGATAGCACTCGAGGATAAGACACTGACACCGGCTGAGAAGGATGAGTTGACCAAGCAACTCGACCTGCTGGCCATTGAGACACGAGATCGTCGCATTGAGCGTGAGCAGCTCTCCGAATACGTTCAGACGCGCCGCGAGGTGTTCCTGCTCAAGTTTTCACTCGACGTGAAGCGCGCTGAAATCCAAAAGCTGGAAGAACAGGCTCATCAAGAAGAGGCCAAACTCAATGTGCGTTGATGATGCTGCAAGAGGCTGTTCATGACCGGGTTCCTGCCCTTGAGCGCATGTTTCAGTTGGATGCCCTTGTCGGGATTCATTGTTGCCATCTTTTTTGTGTCCCCAGGAAGCCGAACGTTGGCTGGAGGCCGACGCCGCCAAGTTTGATCAATTTCTCCGTGACAATGACCGTGCAGCAGTCAGCGCCATCAAAGATGCTGAAGAGGCCACGGCGCGCAAGCAAGACAAGGCCAGCGAGATCAAGCGACTACAGGTGGGCACTTGTTGATCTCGTATCTCTGCGCTCGATTGCCTCCAACATTAGTGTCCCCTCACGTTTTTGCGTGGTCACAGGCTGAGATCATGGCCGTTGGCAGTGAGGTGACCAAGCAAGAGGACCAAATTAGCGAATTGCGCTCGTATCGTCTCTTTCTCGACTCGCTGTCCCCAGCGGTAGGTTGTGGCATCCTGGTCTACCTTGTCCGATCTTGGTCCGGAATATCAGCGCGCCTGTAACTATACTTCCCTCTGTGTTCTCACGCCTGCACCGCAACCATGCGGGCGCCCGTGTTGGACGGAAACACATGAATTTGCGTTTGGGGCTTGGCACTGATGTAGGCGTGGCAGAGCGAGCAGGAGCTCAAGCAGCGTCAGGTGTTGACAGCGCTGCGCTCACGGCAGGCATCGGCCGCCAGTGAGGCAGCGGCCTCAGCCCGGCCTGCCGGCCGTCGCCGCTCGTCGGTTGGTACGGCCCGACGCCGACGTCGCAGTTCAAGCGTGTCACGGCGTGAGCGCGCAGCCAGCGTGACCGGGCGCAATTCTGTTGCTGAGATCCGACAACAACAAGAGCAGCAGCAGGAGACCGCTTTGCAACGGTTTGAGCTGGTGGATCTCGAGCTTGAGCCCAGTCTGTACTTTCAAGAGCCCTCAGAACTTGTCAACATCCTCGAGTCTTTGGAGGAGGAGAACTTGTCGCTCATTACTAACGGGCAGGACAGTGAGGAGCACTTGCAAGATCTGTCAGATCGCTTCCGTGCTGAGCGCCAGGTGCTGCAGCAAGAGCGCACTGGCATGGAAAACCAATTGTCAGATCTTGAGGCGCAAATCGAACGCGAGCGGGAGACGGTTGTTATGCTCAAAGAGCGTTGCCAGTACTTTTCGGCTGCCACAGTTGAGGACCAAGAAGCAGAGCTTGGTCGCTTGGACGACAAGGTAAGGCTTTCCAACAGCGTCGGCTGGCATCTGCGTGTTGTTTTCAAAAGTCCTTGGTGGGAGGGTCATGATTTTCATGAGACGGGCCTGTGTGCGTAGGTCAGCGAAGTATATCGCGCTTGCATCGGCCAAAATGAGGCGGGTATTTCCACGTTGCAGATGCTGACCAACATTGAGAACAAGGTGGAGGAACTACTCGAGGCCATGTCTTCCATGCCTCCAGATCGGTTGGCGGCAGCTGAAAAGGTATGTGCAGACTTTTGAGTGGTTTATCGAGTGCGGGTGATGTGCGTGCGCCTTGTGTGTTTTGCATCGTGCTTTTCATTCATGGCCTTGGATCTCATGCTCTAGATCAAGGACAAAGAGCGGCGCCAGCGTTTGCGCGAAGAAAAGTTGCAAGAGCAGAAGCGGCAACAAGAGCTTCGTGTGCGCCGGGCACTCCAGCGTGCCCAGGAGGCCCCGCGCGAGGTGACAGGGCGCAAGCTCATGTACCGCTCGCAACCCCCACCGCGCAAGCGAACTGACCATAATGGGCAAAACCCCAAGGCACAGTCAGCCGAGGAGGAAGAAATGCGCCTTTTTTTCCAGTAGTCGTCAAAGAGGCGTGACCATTCGAGCTGACTCGAGCTGAGTGAGGCCTTTTAGCTGTTTTCATATCTAGCAGGCGCCTTTTGTTGTGGATGAAGCGACCAAAAGCATACCGAGTTGTCATTCCTTTTCATGTCTGTACCAATTGAGTCTCCCCAACTTTGTTGTGCTCCTCCATGCTCCTGTGCATCTGAATAATATGCGATACAGGATGTGCCACAAGAGCAGTCTCCATTTTGTTTCAAGGTGGCAAGCATGTCGGCACCGATCGACCGGGGCAGACGTCCCAAAAGGAGCACTTTGCCTTGATATTCAGGTTTATTCTATTTTGGTTCAAGTAAACGTACATCTTGAAAAAGATATTGTAGCGATAAGGATAATTTGAGAAGATATATTAATGTTAACAGTGTAAGAAGATGTGGCAGAATAAGATGTTTATTCTGCCAGGCTTTGTGTTAACGTAGAAGAGCATCAAGTTGAAGTTGTTGGTGTTTTGGTGAATTGCTGCAAGCTTTCTGTGTGTGTCTCTCTCTCTCTTCTCTCTGTGTGTCTCTGTGTGTCTCTGTGTGTCTCTCCTCTCTGTGTATCTCTCTGTCTCTGTCTCTGTCTCTCTCTCTCTGTCTCTGTGTGTCTCTCTCTGTCTCTGTTCTCTCTTTCTCAAACTGACCAAACCAATTCAATTCTCTGTCTCTGTCTCTCTGTCTCTGTCTCTGTCTCTCTCTGTCTCTGTCTGTCTCTGTCTGTCTCTGTCTGTCCGTCTGTCTCTCTGTCTGTCTCTCTCTGTCTGTCTGTCTGTCTCTCTCTGTCTCTCTCCCTCTCTCTCTCTCTCTGTGTCTCTGTGTGTCTTTTTTTTTGTGATTTGGCAGCGGGTCGCAGGCACGTGGAACAATGGCGGCCTTGGTGATGCGAATGACAGGTGTGGGCCAGCGTGTGGCCTCGTTGCATGGCCGAGGTGCCGCGCACCAGGTATGAAGCACCCGATCGCTGGCAGTGTCGTTCAAGATGACATCGAGCAGCCTCTGGCTCTGGGTGCCATTGATCCGGCATTCTCCCTCACGTGGCATCTTCATCAAAGAAAGCCTGCTTGCTGTTCTCACGATCTGATCTTGCTGCTACTGCTCCTCTCTCTCAAGATCCGCAATCTGATCGCAGCCTCATCCATCAACCCCGACGCCGTTCAGATTACGCCGCCCAACCCTACCGTCAGCCCCGCCGGCCTCCAATCCCTCGTCTTGTGCTCCACTTGGTTTCAGACCGAGTCGATCTCATTCCGGTTACAACTTTCGGCTTTTCCGCGACGCTTGCTCTTCATCACAGCTGCCGCACTTTGATCTTCCTTCTGGCTACAAGGTCCCAGCCATCGGCATGGGCACCTTCACTGGCACACGCTTGACCCAGCAGGCCGGTGCGTCCCGACGACCCTCAATACCCAGATTCCACCAAGCGCAAAAAAAAACCCCCTTCTGTCCTCATTCTTTCCGCTTGGATAGAACCCGGCGTCATGAAGAACGCCGTCAAGATGTGGATCCGTCTCGGGGGTCGCATGAGTACGTCTGGTGGTCCCCGGTGGTCGAAACCTAGTCGCCCAATCTTTTCTGACTGTTGGGCCTTGTGTCTTACAACGGCTTGTGACCCGCGCGTAGTTGATGCTGCGCAGAACTATCTCAATGAGGTCTGCTTCCTTTCCGTGCTGCTTTTGCTCCTCTGTTCTGTTGTCGGCTCACCGCGACACTCTGCCTACCTCCACCCGAACGTTACCTCAATTCGCGCCGGTTGACAGGCAGAAATCGGCGATGCCGTGGCCGAGTGCATTGCCGAGGGCATTGTCACCCGCGAGGAGCTTTTCATATCCTCCAAGCTCAACAACCCTTACCACAAGTGCGACCTCCTGTCCCACCGCGCCAACTTTATGGGATGCTTGCTGTGCAGATGGATACTCATGAAAATTCCTTGAAATTTTCATGCCAGGCCCGAACACGTTCGCCCTGCTCTCGAGAAGACGATGAAGGATCTCAAAGTCGATTACTTGGGTGCGTGGTCATCCTGCTCTTCTTCATCGGCCGCTCGTCGCCCTTACCGCACCGCATAGGCCGCGTTCCTGCGCGACTTCACGACATGCTCCCATGCTTCTTCTGTGGCGGCTTGATGACGCTCGGGTAGACATGTATCTGATGCACTGGCCGACGGCCTTTGTTCATGTGCCCTTTGATGAAACCCAGCGTGACTTTCCACAGAGCTACGAGCCTGATCAATGCACTGGTGTACGCCACCGCTCAAAGTTGTGGCTTTTGAGCTTGTTTTGCCCAATTCTCTCTCTCTTGACCAATGTCCGTGCGCCCCCTGTTATAGATTACGGGCGTTCAGTGGAAGGATTACAAGGGCTCCTGGCCCCCGCCTCATTTGGCCCGTGGCATCAGTATCCACGACACCTGGGATGCTTTGATTGATTGCCACAAAGATGGCACCGTTCGTACACTGGGCGTTTGCAACTTTAAGGTAAGCACTTGTCACCCATCCCAAAGAAATGCGAAACATTGGCGGGCTTAGCCACCCCAGGAAGCAGCCTTCGCCTATTTTCGCCACGCTTCCAACCCTCAAACACGCCGTGTCTTGTAGATTCAATTGTTGCACGAGCTGATGATGGGCGATCATGCGATGATCCCCCACGTTCTACAAAATGAGGGCCACCCCTACAATCAGCAATGGCGCCAACTGGAGTACGTGTCTCACCGTCTTGTTGCGCCCAACATTGAGATTGTGACTCGTATACAGCCTGACACACGTCTTGCTGCAGGTTTTGCCAAAAGGTTGGCATCCAGTTTATGGCTTATTCACCTTTGGGCTATGGTGCGTTTCCTTTCGTCATCGCCGGATCCGGCTGCTATCGTCGCACTTGCGTCTGCGCACACCTCTCTTCCTTACATGACTCGGTTTGGCATGCTCGTGTCCTAAAGGCGCCTTCAAAAAAGCCGACGAGGTGACGGTGCTAGCCAACCCCGTGTTGAAGGAGATTGCCGATAAGCACGACAAGTCGACGGCGCAGGTTGGTGTTTTCTGTTCTGATGCATCTTCCGCGCCTTCCCTAGCCATGTCTCATGCTCTGGTGGTTATATCGGGTCCGGGTGCAGGTTGCTCTGCGTTGGTGTGTGCAGCGTGGCGTGAACACAATGCCTTTTAGCTTGCGGGAAAACGAGCTGCGTCAGAACCTGACTGTGGGTGAGTTTGCCCTGGACGACGAGGATATGGCCAAAATCCGCTCTCTTGATCTACGCCACCACTATCTGGACCCATACGACTGGTACGGTCTTCCTCTTTGGGACTAAGTGGCCCATGAGCTACTTGCTGCTCCTTTTTCTTCGTCGATGCGTCTTTGTCCCCCCACATTTTCAGTGCACGCTCGATAACACACAAACAAACAAAACACCAAAAAAAGTTTCTGTGTTTTTTTTGGCTTGTCTTTTTGCAAGAGACAGACTCACAGAGCAGAACCAGCTGGGGGTTAGCCACGGAACAAAATTTTGTGCCATGATTAAATCGCTTTTTCGTCTTAGTTCTAACACGTCAATTGACACTACTCACATGCATGGCCAGCTGAAGCAACGTCTTCCTTCACAGCGCAGCTGCCGAAGGCATCTCGGATAACAGCGTTTTCAATTGCTCATGTTATTGAGGCCCTCTGCCTGCAAGGTGGGGTCAATCAAGGTCAATCCAACGTCATTGTTCAGCGATGAAGCAGCAGTCGAAACACGATCGTGGCAACACGAGCAGACATACAATGAGCTGGGTTCCGGTGGTTGAATGCACCTTCCATCGACGGTTGTTAACATCGATGGCGGTCAATGTCACTCGGCAGGCATAGAGAATCGACACCTGCCCAACCGGCAGTGAAATGCTAAAAGATTGTTGGAAAACCAAATTTTGTAGCTGCACCAAAAGAAGATACCACAAGGCGCACAGACGAGTCGTAAGGTTGTATTCAGATCACTTCCAACTGCATATTTGAACCCTGCTCACTCAGAATCCCATTTGCAGAGAAAAAAAAAAAAGAAAAAGCGCACACCTCCGCTACGGCTGCGTGCTGGGTCACGTCTTTGTATTTGCCATGACCAAGGTCCTGTTGCAGCGTCAGTACAATGGCCAACTTGCTCAGTCGTCGCTCTACGAACAAGCGCACAGGCAGCAGCAGCGCACATGGATGAGAGCCTCACGGGGTCTTGCGCAGTTTGTTTGTATTAACAAAGGTGTGAACGTATGGCATGGGCCAACTTGCCATGAGTAAACCATGTGGCATCAGGTAAGATCAGAGAGCCATCGACAAAGACGTTGCAGTACGAGTCAAGGGCAACGGTGAAAGGGCGCCCATCTCGCAGCTGGGGCGAGCACTCGAGGCGCGCCATCAACAAATTGCTGTCACGAAAAAAATGTCGTGGGACAGGGAAGGGTCGGGCCAGCAAATCGAAGACGGCTTGCCCTAGAACGTTGGCTGATTGCGCTTTTGCTAACATGAGTTGTTGCGCTCGCTCCAAAAGACCAAGACTCTCGTCTGAGGGCAGCTGCCGTGGTCGAAGTAAATCAAGCTCTGGTGCAACAGGTCGCTCCTCGGTCCGGCGTTGCAAGGCATCGAGCAACTGCGCTAGCACCCAACGCCAAGTGTCCAGGTAGGTCCAGCTGGCATCGTCCATGGCGTAGTGGTCCTCTAGCAAGGCTCGCACAAGATGGTAGACACGATGTACATGGCCGAGGCAACTGAGGCGGCCTGTCAAGCCACGGCGCAGCTGACGCAGCGCCAGACTGAGAGCATCATGCAGCAAGCGGCGAAACTCGAGGTACTGTTGCTGAAAATGCCAGTTGGAAGCTGTTTGTAGCACTGTGACATGTTGTTCAACGGCCCCAAAAGGGCCGCCTGCTGCCTCAGCCTCACCCATCGCATCCACCATGGCCAGGAATGCTTCATGCAGCTGGCCCAGAACCTGACGCGTGTTGGTCAAAGCTATTTTGGCACGCTTTGAGGGGTGCATACTGTCCCCCTCCGGGTTATCCACTGGAGAGACGGGTCGACTCTCAGCCACCACCATCATTCCATTCATCAAGAGCCGGCGCTGCAGGCGATACGTGAGCCAGCCATCATTTTGCGCTACAACGGTTTGATACAACCTTTGAACAGCCACAGTTGCTTCCTCGCTGTTGGCAGCAGCCAGCGCCAAAAGGGAAGCAACGCGGGTTGGCAAGAGGTGTCGCGCATTGTCGTGCTGACCAATAAGGTCGATGCAGGCCGTCACGAGATCCATCAAAGCACACTCGACGTCATCGGGCACAGCAGAGGGGCACATTACTGCCACGCGACGCAGCGCCGCAACCAAGCTTTCGAGGCCAACAGCCACGCTGCTGACAAGAGTCACGTCCACGGTCAGAGCGCGCTGCAGGAGGTGCATGAGAAGAATCGCCGGTTTTGCAGCTGCAGCCCATGTGAGCTCATCTAGCCATCCGCGCTCGAGGTCACGCAGCAAGGCACTAAAATCTGCAACTTGGTCGGCTAGGGGTCGCGAGCGCGTTGGGTCAGGGAGGCATCGACTGGCGTATTCTCCCCACATGTCCTGTCGCTGCTCAAGCGCGGGCCAGTCCTGGAGCGCCGATTCCAGGGCCGGCGAAGTGTAACGTAAAGCTGCAACTCGACCAAGGACGTTGAAGGAAACAAGTACCACGGCCACACTGGTGTCTGGATCCTGCAAGCGTGCTTGCAGCGTCGCCTGGAGCGGCTGCAACACGCCACAGAGGGCCTCTGAATCAAGCTGGTACAGCGTTTCATTTTGGACGCACAGCGCGGCCTCAAAGATATCTAGGATCTGGGGGTGGTGGAAGTATAGGAGTGAGCTTTGATGGGTGAGCACACACGTTGGGGAGGACGACACGTTTACGGACCAGGGGGCAAAGCTGTGGAAGGCGTGTCTTAGGCAGGAGAAGCCCCAAAAGCGCAGCATCAGCTAGGGCGGGTTGTGCTCGTACACAGGCCACCAGAGCACTAAACGTGGCATCAGCATGGCCGCCATCCAGCGGGTGAGACAAGTCCCAGGACCAGACTTCAAAATGCAAGACTTGGTCCGTGGCGCAACGTGAGCCCTTGCCACGCAGCGTCAGCGCAACAACATACTTTAAAACCACTGGATGGTCCTCGGTGGGTCGCTCGCGCAGTAAACTTTGTACCACATGATTGAGGGTTGCCGAGACATCAAGAGTGGTCTGTTCATCAACCACCAGCGCCCGCAAACACTTGGCAAGTGCCAGCAAGCAAATACACGCCTCGACCCTAGGTCACGCATTGTACATTTGCATCAAGATGTGCCAAAAAGGTTCAAGGGCGCCAGCATTGCGTCAAGCAGGAAGGAGAAGCTCAGGTGAGGACACGTGTCAGCAACAAGGCGGGGCCCGTCCGAATTGCGAGTGCGTACGTCGAAGGCAGGGAGGTCAGATGTTGACGAAGTAGACGAATGGCATTTGGCGACCAGGATCGATCAAGTCCATAAAGGCTGAGGCTTGCAGCGGTTGAAGCAGCAGGCGCCGTGTTGCCAAGATCAGTTCCAAACGATCCAGCAAAAGCAGCAGCAGCTTCTGCGGCGAGTCGCAGATAGGCGCAGCGCACTGTCTCAAGTTCGCAGCGGGGTAGGAGTTGCTCAAGCTGGAGTTGCGGGCGTGCGAGCGTGGTTGGTTCGTGAGCAAGCGAAAGCATAACAACAGGTACGCTCACACGCGTGGGCTGACAAGAAAGAGAGAAGAAGCAAATGTGGCGGGCGGGTGAGGTTTGAACCTGATTCAGAAGCAGGGCGGCGAACACTTGCGAATGCCTGCTCGTTTTGAGGAGTTCATCATCCCACCGGCCAGCATGTGTGATGAGATGCTGGTGGCAAGAGGACACAATCTAGCCACAGCTAGGCGTTTAGGTATTTTGAGTGGTTGCCAGAAGTTGTGCACGGTTTGCGCCTTACCGACACAGCTGTTTGCTCAGTTGCAGAGCTGCACGCTTCTCAGGCCAGTGATGGCTTTCTAAAGATTGAAACACGCTGCTCGCAGATTAAAGTCAGGTATCTTGTACAGGCCAAGAGGAATGCAACAAGTCCCATTGAAGAGCAGGGGCACGTACTGGTCGTACAAAACGCTTTGCTGGGCGGCCATCGCAGCAAGCGGCAGCAATGACCTGAGCAGCGGGATGAGGAGTCAAGATGCGTGAGCAAGCCGAGTGCGCGGGTTCTGTGTATCAGGGGGCTGAAATTTCCCAGGGCTTGGTCAGGCACGGACTTGAGCGTGAGGGTCCGGGCCAGAGCATCATTACTATGCAGCACTTTGACAAAGTTGGGGATGATGTAATCAAGGGTGGCCGTCTGTTCAGAGTTTGCCACAAGCACATGCGCCAGTGGATGAGCTAGTTATTACATGTGCATGGGCGACCTCGTACAGGAGCTCGAAACGCATCACTATCTACGAACATGCATGATGAAGGTTCGGCACTGCTGTAGGGTCGTCATGATAGCATAGCGCAGTTCATTGTCCTCTCTAACAGCCGTGATCAGTCAGATCAAAGATTGACGATTGGTGAGCAGGGCGCGACTCGCTGAGTGCTTGGCAGGCGATGGAGGTCACGAACTGAGTAAAGGCGTTGGCCAAGAGCGAAAAAGTGGCGTTGATTGCCCGGGCAGTGAGATTATCGCGGAGCATGTCTGGGAGCCGGTACAAGCCCTCAAGGCGCGCCCGCCCCGGTTGGCTGAGCTCTAACGAGACGACCGTCGGACATGAGACGCAGGCTCGAAGCAAGCTCAAGTTGTAAACCCAAACACAGCACGCAAAAAGATCACACACTGTAGAGCGCAACGTACTAGGCTTGAGCGCCTCAAGGGTCTGAGTCACATCCCCAAAGGTCGAGTTGCCGATGACCAGCGCCATCTTGGTCGCTGCCGTTTTGCGACGGCGAACCAGCAGCTGGCTCAACTTGAAAATGGCTGAGATGGTTGACCCCTTTTATCTGTCATTCCAAATTGTCAGATCAAAGGACGGACGGGAGAAACACGGTGGGACAGTGTGTTGTTGTTGCCAGTTCAGGCCATGTTGCAGCTACTGATGTATTTGCAGTAGTGGCTGCTAGTGCAAAGGTAAAACAACGTTTTCTGGGGTAGAGGTTATTGTCGAGGAACGATGACTTATTGAAGTCGTCGATGAACCTGCTACCAAGTGAGAGAACCAAGTGTCAGTTGTCTCTGTGAGGCAGCAGCGACGGTTGACGGAGCGCGCGACGCGACGCGAGGGAGGACGTGCAGGCAAACGGCAGCGGGTGGGTGTAGTGGGCTCGTTTCATTGGACGTATGATGGTCTGCTCAAAATCTTTTGGATTTGATAGCGTGTGCTTGTGCGGAGCTCATGTGCAGTGTGTGCGCGGGAGTGTATGACCCGCCTTCTCATCTGAACAACAATGCTGAAATCTGTCTTGGCAGTTGGCACGCAGCTCAGTCGTGAGCGCTAGTGGCTCGGTGCATTCGAGGTGCGCATGCACGGCTGCTGGGACTAATGCGATCAGTGCCAAGAATCCCCCCCCTTCTGCTTCTTCCTTGTTTGAGAAAGGGCGTTGTAAACTCTTTGGTACCTCATCAGCTCGTTGGGATACACGCGGCAGCGCGCCGCAACGGGCTGCAGGCATCAGGACCGGACCCGGTTGAGCTTGGCAGTTGCATTATCGTCACGTTCAAGACGTTTAGCTGCGCTTTCTCGTTTCAACAGCCACCGCAAGCATGAACATGGAGGCGGATTGGGATAATGATCCCTGTGCGTGTCGTTTCGTGGTGCCAACCCAATCAAGCCAGACCAAGCGGCTTGAGTTGTGGTGGCTCTTGCCTCTCAACGTCAGCATGCATTTGCTTCTGCTTCTAGATCTCCTCGGACTCATGTCGTGGTGGGTGTTGCGTGTTGTTGTTTGATAGACGTTGATGATGATGCCGACATTGACAACTGGGATGAGGCTTGCTGGGAAGTCATCAACGCATACTTTCGCGAAAAGGGTCTGGTTCGCCAGCAGCTGGACTCGTTTGACCACTTTATCACCTACACAGTGCAGAAAATTATCAAGAATTCTCCTCCGATCGAAGTGCAGGGTCGCTTGCAGTACCTCTCCAACGAGATTGAGGAGCCGGTACGGCGCGTCGTCTCATCCCAGCCGGTCCTATCAGCCTGGCTCCAGCCACGTGCCCACTGCTTTTGGTTCTTTTTCTCACGTCGACGCTTCGATTATTAGCCGAAGCACACCATCTCTTTTGGGCAGGCAGGCTTTGCGCTGCCTCAACACAAAGAGGAGGATGGCAACTACGATCATGTGTTCCCGAACGATTGTCGCTTGCGCAACCTGACCTATCAGTCCTTGATGCAATGCGAGATCACACACACCGTCGAGCAGAAGAATCCCGAGACAGGCGTACGTGCTACACTCACAATCACTCACAATCGTCACATTAACATCGGGTGGCTAACCAGGATAGTTGGTGCATTCACTCACACTCGTCCGCGACCCACATTCTCGTTCACCCCACCCCCATACACAGGAGATTGAGCAGGAGGTCACCACCACCCCCGCTCTCCTGGGCAAGGTACCCATGATGCTGCGCAGCAAGTACTGCACCTTGAACAAAATGGAGACCTTCCGTGACTTTTACGATATCAACGAGTGCCCGCTTGATCCTGGAGGCTACTTTATCATCAACGGGTCCGAGAAGGTATGGCCTTGTCTGTGTCGAGCCAAGAGTATTGCCATGTACCTCTCCGAGCCTGGTTGAGCGCCTGCTCTTTCCGATCTGCCTTGTCCTGCGGCCTCTTCCTGTCTCCCCATGTGTTGCTGTCTGACCACATTCCTTTTTCCATGGCTGCAGGTCTTGATTGCTCAGGAGAAAATGGCAGGAAATACGGTCTACGTGTTTGAGAAGAAGGATTCCAAGCACATGTTTGTTACGGAAATGCGCAGTATTGTCGAGGACAGCAACCGTCCTACCAGGTACGTCGTGGGCCAGATGCAGCCGGGCACGGCTTTTCTCGGTCGTTTCCGCCCCCAATAGCCCTTCTGACACTGATCACCCTTGCTTGTTTGCCTCACTTGTCTGTCCCGCTTGTCTGCCTGGCAGCACCATGATGGTCAAGATGCTGCGCGGTGGAAGCGGCGGTACCAAGGGACGTGCCACATTTGGCCGAGTGATTCATGCCAGCTTGCCATACATCCGACAGGACATTCCCGTTGTGGTTCTCTTTCGTGCTCTTGGATTTGAGGACGATCGTAGCATCCTCGAGCACATCATTTACGATTTTGACGACATGGAAATGATGGAACTTCTCAAGCCTTCACTGGATGAGGCCTTTGTGGTGCAGACCCGGGAGGTCGCGCTTGACCTGATTGGTCGCCGCAGTATGGCTGCGGTTGGCATGTCCAAGGACATGCGTGTGCGCTTTGCACGGGATATTCTCCAAAAGGAGATGCTGCCACATATTGGCGTCGGCCCTCAGTGCGAGCAAGCCAAGGTCCGTACTTTGCGAAATGCGATGGTCTTTTGTGTGACTGGAAGCATGCCACCCACCCACACACACACACACACACACACACACATACATACGTCCGCAGACCAACTCGTGGTGTCGCGGCTTACTATCCGTCATTGAGGTTCCATTTCTTTCTTGCCTGACTTGAATCTTGTCTTCATTTAGGCATTCTTCCTGGGCTACATGGTGCACCGCACTTTGCAAGCCGCGCTGCGCCGCCGCGAGCTGGACGACCGTGACCACTACGGCAACAAGCGTCTGGACCTGGCAGGCTCGCTCGTGGCCTACTTGTTCCGCACACTGTTCAAGCAGCTTACCAAGAAGGTTCGGCCAGGCACTCGGCAGGATTGAAGGAATCTTGAGAGAGTGCAACAATGTTTTGTCTTTGCGTGCTCCAACTGGTGCCCGTATTCACTGATCGCTTGCTTGCAGCTGACGCGCAAGGTCACGGACTTGGTCAACCGCAATCACAAGTTCATGGTCATTACCTTGCTTGACGTTGAGATTCTGGGGTCGGGTTTGCGTTACTCTCTGGCCACAGGCAACTGGGGTGACCAGAAGAAGGCACACGAAGCCCGAGCGGGTGTTTCTCAAGTGTTGAATCGGTTGACGTTTGCGTCAACGTTGTCACACTTGCGTCGTCTCAACTCGCCCATTGACCGCACGGGCAAGATTGCCAAGCCTCGCCAACTGCACAACACCCATTGGGGCTACATTTGCCCTGCTGAAACCCCCGAGGGGCACGCCGTTGGTACGTTCAGTCAAACGAGTCTTGAGGCAGATCCACCGTCAAGTACCTTGTCGTCATCTGCCAGCTGTCCCCACCACCCAGCACAACAGGAGAATCGCTTGCTTCACCTGTGCTTTCGCACAACGTTTTATTCTGCATCGGCTCATGATGCCCTTCTTCCCAATCCCTCGCTTGTTTTCAAAGGTCTGGTCAAGAACCTCTCGCTCATGGCCTCGTTGACCGTCGGCTCGGACGATACCCCTGTCCATGATCTGCTGGGCGCCAGCGGCCTTGATTACCTCGATCGCTTGCCGTCACGCTCTGCCATTAAAACGTACGCCGTTGGCAAATTACATTTCGTTGCACGTTGTTGCGGCAATTGTGACTGGATTGGCTTTGTCAGCCAAGCATCGCCTTGTGTGTGTTCTAGATGAGAGCACGGCATCTTGATCTAACGCATCTTTTTGCTGCTGTGCTATTGTAGTGCAACAAAGGTGTTTGTCAACGGCAACTGGGTGGGCATTCACAGCCACCCGGATGAATTGGTCACCACAATGCGACAGTACGTCATTTATCCTGCCCAGCCCAGCCTCGTCCAGCCCGGTCCAGTGGTAGTTGTGCATTGCATCCGCGCCTGCATCACCTTGTTGCTGCCTTTGAACTTGGATCGCCATAGGATGCGCCGTGGTACCGACGTTGAGGGTGAGCTGTTGGATGCAGCCCACTCGGTTGCTTCCGAGGTGTCCATCTTCCGCAACATTCGCGAGCGCGAGGTCCACATTGTCACCGGTCCGTGCTCTTATTCCCGACCCCTCGTTTTTGGCATTTGCTTTAAGCCGTCTATAATTCTCAGTGTTGACCACTTTGCTGTTTTGCTGCGTGCGATTTGAATAGATTCGGGCCGTACCACTCGTCCTCTGCTGATCGTGAACAAGGACGACGCCAATCGGTGCCGCTTTGCGCTGAAGAACTCGCATGTCATGGCACTGCGCAACGATGTATGTACCACCGCTTGTTTGAGACCTAAAAGCCTGCATAGCTGACCCCTGGTTATTTTTGTCTGCATCGTGTCACCCTAGCAAATGAGCTGGACCCACCTCGTGCAGCGCGGTGTCGTCGAGTATATTGACGTCAACGAAGAGGAAACAACCATGATTGCCATGTACGGCCATGACCCCTTGGCCCTCCTTGCTTTGCCAGACTCGAATACTGTTAGAACTCATGCCTACGGCTGGCTGTTCAATACGTAGGGACCAGGGCACGTTGGAGGAGACGAGCTACTGCAACACGTACACGCACTGCGAGATTCACCCGAGCATGATTCTGAGCATTTGTGCATCCATCATTCCTTTCCCAGATCACAACCAGAGTCCGCGTAATACCTACCAGTCGGCCATGGGTAAGCAGGCCATGGGCGTCTATATTACCAACTTTCATGTGCGGATGGACACGCTGGCACACGTGCTGTACTACCCTCAACGGCCCCTCGTTCAAACGCGGTACGTCAGGTTTTCAACTCTAGCTAATATAACTGCACTTGAAAACCAGCTCATTCATGTGTACCTTGTTTGTCTTTAGCTCAATGAACTACTTGCGGTTTGCCGAGCTGCCTGCTGGCATTAACGCAATCGTGGGCATCATGACCTACACTGGTTATAACCAGGAGGATTCGGTCATTATGAACCGTTACTCGGTGGAGCGTGGTCTTTTCCGGTCAGTGGTGCTGTACATTGCCTCACGTCTCGAAACCAGTGGTTGGGTCTTATCCTTTGGTGCGTGTGTTGGTAGATCCGTCTTTTACCGTTCATATGCGGCATCAGAGCACTCGGAGCGCGGCGAGATTATCAAGATTGACAAGCCGAGCCGCGAAAACTGCATTGGCATGCGTCGTGCAAACTACGACAAGCTGGAAGATGATGGCATTGTCGCGCCGGGGATCCGCGTGAGCGGAGATGACGCCATTGTGGGTCGTTTGCTGGAGCTGCCCGAGGCGACGCGCCAAGCATCGGGTGGACGCTTTGAGAAGCGTGACAAGAGCTTGTTTTTGCGCAGCAGTGAGAGTGGTATCATCGATGGCGTAAGTACCAGGAAATGCAAGCTTATTGCCTTCAACCTCGATGATGTCGACTGTTCTCCTTTGTCTCCCTGGCAGCTGGTGCTGTTCCGTTCTTCACTCGCGCCATTTCGGTTGATGGCATTTTGACAGGTTATGATCAGCGTCAACCAGAAGGGCGAGAAGTTTGTCAAGATTCGCGTCCGCTCGGTCCGCACGCCGCAAATTGGTGATAAGTTTGCCAGTCGTCACGGACAGAAGGGTACTTGTGGCATGCAATACGCGCAAGAGGACATGCCGTTTGCCGCTTCGGGTGTGGTGCCGGACATTATCGTCAACCCTCATGCCATTCCCAGTCGTATGACCATTGGTCACTTGATTGAGTGTCTGCTTGGAAAGTACGTTTTTATGGTCTAGCTTGCTCTGTGTTCCTCCCTGCTGTCCTTGTTTGCAGTTCTGCCACGTCGTGTGCCGTCTCCTCACAAATTTCTCCCTTTGCTTGGCATTGGCAGGTCTGCCTCGCACTCGGGTACCATTGGTGACGCCACGCCCTTCACCAAGGTCAACGTGACGGATGTTGCTGATATTCTGGAGGGCTACAATTTCCAGCGCTATGGTAACGAGGTCATGTACAACGGCTTCACCGGCCGAAAGATGCAGGCCCAAGTTTTCCTGGGTCCCACTTACTACCAGCGCCTCAAGCACATGGTCGACGACAAGATCCATGCCCGCGCCCGTGGCCCACTGCAGAACTTGACTCGTCAGCCCATGGAGGGTCGCTCTCGCGATGGCGGCCTTCGCTTTGGAGAGATGGAGCGTGATTGCATGATTGCCCATGGCGCTGCCCAGTTTCTGCGCGAACGTCTCTTTGAGGTATGGAGACTCGTGTCAATTTGATTCCCTGAATCTGTCTCACATTTTCGGCAAGCACATCGGGTTGGCTGTCTGGGACCTTGCTCACGGCTCTGTTTGCGCTTCATAGGTCTCAGATCCCTACAGCTTGCACGTCTGCGATGTCTGTGGCCTGCCTTGTGTGGCCAAGTTGGAAAAGAACGAGTTTGAGTGCACACGCTGCCGCAACTCAACTCGGGTAAGTTTGGACCGTTGGTGTTGAGTTCACCCGATGCCGTACTCTGCTTGCATAACATCTCCCACGCAGCCCTCATGCTTGTGTGTGCTCGTGCTCGCCCTTCCCATGCACTCTTGGACAGGTTTCGCGCATTCGTTTGCCGTACGCTTGCAAACTGCTGTTCCAGGAGCTCATGACCATGTCGGTGGTGCCGCGCATGATGACGGACGATAGTCATGGCTAAATGGCGCAGCTTGATGTTGCTTGTGCGTTGTTGGCAACGTGAGCGTCACCCAATCAAACATCGTTAAGGAGAAACTGCAAAACTGTTTCTTGGCATTGAGTCGATTATAGAACTTGCAGGTCAAAGCGGGGAATTGGTATCCACGAGCATTGAGTGTGAGGGCTTTTCCCTCCGTTTGGTGGGCCCGAAGGCTGGTACAGGCAGACTTATGAAGATGTCGGCGCAGCTGGCTTTTGCGCGGCCTCCCAAAGTTGATCATAGTCGAGTTCGGGGAAGAAGAGACCAATTTCACGCCGGGCAGCCTCGGGAGAATCTGAGCCGTGGCCCACGTTGCGCGTATCTGAGAGTCCAAAGAGGCCGCGCAAGGTGCCGGGATTGGTGATGCGTGTGCGGTGAACCTTTGTTGTCCAAACCACTTGGCGTGAGAAAACAGAACGAGACAGACTGGGAGAGGAGCCAAGTCAGGGGCAGGATGTTCGGATACAACCCGGAATTTAGACGCTTCAGACCTTGGTGGGACCAAGAAGGGCACGCCACACAGAAATGGCTTCGGGGCGCGCTAGCACCAGAGCTTCAAGGTCGTTGCTCGTGATAAAGTTGGTCAGACGAGGGAAGAAAAACTTTTCTGCTCATTTTCAGATGCAACCACGTGGAACGCGCAGCATGAGCATCATGTGGCATCGCCCAGCAAAAGCGTGTGCGCCTCGCTGTAGGCTTACCACGATGCTCGCCGTAAAAGGTTTCTGCAAGCTCCCGGGGCACGCGCAGACGCTACACGTAGGCGAGCCAGTGTGAGGCTAGCGAGCATGGCAAGCTGCGCATGAATCGGTTGGCCAAACCTTGCGTTGCAGGACTTCAAACCCATTCGTGCGCATGATGCGCAGAATGGTTTCCACTCGATGAGGGTGTGCAGCCACGTCGGGCTTGATCAATGCCAGAGTCAGCTGGCGTGCCCCAGCCGCAGCTGCCCCTGTAGTCCCTGCCATGATGCTTCAAGTGCGCGTGTGTGTGTGTGTGTGTGTGCTGACTTGCTGTTGAAATTATTTATTGGTTTGATCCACAACTTTTTTTTTTTGGATGGACTTGTTGAATTTTTGTTGGATGTGTGTGTGTGTGTGTGTGTGTGTGTGTGTGTGTGTGTGTGTGTGTGTGTGTGTGTGTGTGTGTTATGGCCAACTTTTAAATTGGGAGCGGGGCCACACATAACATGCAATGCGTGAGTGTGGGTCAGGTCAGACGTTTGAATGCTGATGGCACCGTTGCTCAAGTACTTATAATCTGATCGGGCAAGGAGGGGAGGGGTCCGACTTGGCTGAGGTCAATCGGCTTGAAGCCAACCTGTGCGCATGCGAGTGATACCAGGTCTACGTTAGCACGGCGTTTGGGACAGGCCGCACTCGCGTCTTGCTGGCTGCGCACCTGGTACGCCGGTGAACCAGCAGGTATGGAAAAGTCAAGCGTCGATGGACTCTTAAACTGCGGATCTGCCACGAGGGAGCCCAAGTCCTGTTGTGGGCCTACATGGATTTGATTGCAAGCAGGTTTGCGCGTCAGGCCCAAAGGAGCCACAGGGTCGCTTGTTGACACGTCCCATTGGCAAACCCACCAGAGCAAGTGCCTGCTGCGCTTGCAGCACGGCTAGTCCCGCAGCCATTCTGCCAATCCGCAAAGGTGGTTTTGTTGAGCCCTCCGGCCTACAACACGCGAGTTGGCATGCCCCACCCGAGAAGAAGCAAAAACCGTGAGCTGTTGGAACAAGTCAAGTAAAACGGCTCTCGCTCACTGGGCTAACTGCAAAACAGACCTCGCCGCCCCATGTAAGGGCCGCAGTCAGATTTGCACCCAGCACCGTGCTCCAATAGAGATTGCTCTCAAAGGTCACATTCAGGAAGGCATCGGCCTCATATGAACCCTGGCACACACGGAAATATACAAGCATGGGAGGAGGCTTGAATGATTGAGGTACAGGCTTATGACATCAAAGCGGGGCCATTTGCAGGGACAATGCAACAGACCAACCAAGAATAGGGGCTGTGTGGCATTTGTGAAATTAGTCACATAGACAATGTTATGGCGAAAGATGAACTGTTGTGCTTGGTTGTCTGGCGGCACGCTGCGGATACCCGGCGAATTTTGGTACGTCCATGACTCTGTGAGGGCCGCAGCAAAGATGTTGTTTTCGTACCTATAAATGCAAATCGTAGAAGAAGCAAATGTCAAATGAGCGACACGGCTGACTGGCTGGCTGACTGGCTGGCTGGCTGGTGGAGGTGGTGCCCACAACCCACGTGTTGTTGACACCATAATGTTGCGTCTGCGAGGCGCCCGTTGTGCCATGACAGACGTTGTCATGAAACGAAATGTCACTCGAGCCTGAAGAAACGGCCACAGTCAAAACATGTTAGGAAGAAGAGCGAGGCCATAAGTGCCAAGTATTCCATAGACGCTTTGATTGAAGCTGTACCTTGGTCTTGCGAGAGGCAGAAGCCACCCGTATACCATGCATACACATCGTGAAGTAGATTGTGGTGCACCTCCGTGCCATGCAACACGCCCAGTGTGTACACAGCTGCCATGGCGTCACCCAGCTATCACAAGAGGTCGACACCCATTGTCATGCCCAGTATAATCACAACTCATCATCTGAGACATGCCCTTATGTCGCGCGCAAGGCATATTATTGTTGCCACGTCTATCAAGACTACACACCTGACGAAAAGTACCAGTGCCAAGGTCATGAACGTGATTGTATGCCACGGTCACGTTGGCCGTGGAGGACGGATCTTCAAAATTCCAGCTCCAGCCCACCGAGATGCCCGCATACGAGAAATAGGACACTTCGTTGTGCACAACAGAGACGTTGATGGCTTTTTGAATCAAGATGGGGGTACCTGAAGGAAAAGATAGACCACCTGCCAGAAGCTCAGCCCAAACCATTGGGCGTGTGGTGAGCAGCCAGAACTGTGCCCAAACTCTGTCAAGTGGGCGGACTTGGCATACCTCGATGGATAATGTTGTTTTGTAAAGTCACCTGAGGTGGGCATGATTTCGAGTCAAAGAGAGACCGAGCGACACGGTCACTTGACTTGATGTGCAGTGTCACGAGGAGAGTGACTTACTCGATAAGGGACCCCGTCTTCCGGAGTTTCATCCCCGACGCGAAGAGCCCCCGTCCCCAAATCGCGAAGCACATTGCGATCAACCGTGATATTGACAGAGGACCCGTGGACCCAGACAGCGCAGGCACCAGCACCGACAATTTCGTTATTGCTAAAGGTCACATTGACCACATCGAAAAGATCGATGGCAGCTTGCCTCTGCCAGGAAGCCGACTGCTTGTCACAGACAGTTGTCGGGCCGCAGACCCAATTGGTGTAGGTAAAGTCGATGCCAGAAAAGTCATGGTTGTGGGTGCCGTTGACAAAGAGCAGGTTGTCGGTTTGGGGAATCCAGATGTCGCCGTCCGTGAGGTTCAGGGTTTCTGGGAGTAGCAGGCTCAGCTCGCGGGTGGTCGAGTCAAAGTACCACTCAAAATTTGCATCGAGTCCACTGCGAATGTTTTCGACAAAGTAGCGACCGCCCCCCTCGCTGTCGACGTTTGGCCAGTAGCCGATGGGGCGATCCGATGGATTGGTGAAGAGCACGCGCTGCGCGCTGGGGTCGATGATGCGGAGGTGGTGACGCGACGCAGTCCAGCCGTGGTACACCATAAACTGGGCGTTGCTCTCATTGCGCCAGGCCTCCTGGACGTCATTGTGTGCATAGTAGAAGCCGAAACGAGCTTCTTTTGCGCACGTGGCGTTGGTCCGCACATCCTGAATATAAGAATCACATGCGCAGTGTCTCATTAGGACCAAGCTGAGGCAGATCAAAGGAATCGATTAGACCTCACAAGGGCTTGCAAACAAGTTGATGACCGAAATCTCTACGTACTGGGCAAAGGGGCCGATCCCATACAAAAAACTGGCCCAGATTGGGCGTGCGTGCTCGAGTCAAGGCCTGGCCCTGCCAGTAGACATCGGTGAATGCGTTTGCATGGTCGGGTACCACGGTCGACCACAAGCTGGATCCATCCGGTGTGCTGGACTTGCGCGTAAAGCCATGGACAGGCAAGGCGGTGGTGAGGCGTTGGCCTGCTTGGGCACCGGTCCAAGTGACGGTGCCGTCTGGCAAGGAGTGGCGTGCATTCAGCTGCAGTGGTCGATCTAAGTGACCGTCATGGATCACGATCCGCAAGTGCGTGACGTTTGCCAAATCTTCTTCTTTCTGAACCAGCGCCTCAGCAGCAGCATGAACGCTCATAAAGTCATGATTGCCCGCTGGCCCCACATGCCACACCATCTCCCTCCCGCCCTTTGCCCCACCGCCCCACATCAGCACCAGTCCCAAGCAGGCGATCGCTGCAGCCCGTCGCATCATCATGATGTGTCAGTCAAAACTCAACTCATGAATTTGAAATTTTTTTTTCATTTTTCTTGCTTTTTCCGCACTTTTGGTTCGAGTTTGTGTCGCTATTAAGTACGTTTGTGCTGGTGATCAAGGCACTGAAAGGGAGTTGGTGTAGAGCTTCGCTTGTAGTTTGTGTTGTAATACGTCATGTTTTTGCTTTGAGCATTAAAACATCAACAAATCAAACGGACAAGGTGTGAGGCCTCGTGGGGACGTGCAAGTTGATCTGAGGATCCGCGGCGGCCGGCGCGTGCGAGGGGGAAAGAGAAGCTTGAGGCAACATCAACTGGCGAGAGCGAAGGTACGTAAAGCAAGTGGGGGAGGGGGGATTGCGCTGATGCGGGGGCGACCATCTATCGTGGAGGGCTTATCGGCCCGCGTAGTCTTTTGGAATCTTTTGTGCGACCCGAGCCAGGTCCTTCCAGATGTCACCCGTGCTTTCTAGCCGCTTCAGCACGCTGCGTGGTTGCAACAGTGAGATGCCAGGTTTTCAAGAGCATGCAGTCATTAGTCATGAGTAGCAAGACGTAGACCAACCAACCTTTGTGTATCAAACTGCTTTGACGAGGTACAATCCTGCAGTTCCGCCCAGGTGACTGGGCAGGCCACTGGGGCCCCCGAGCGTGCTCGCGTCGAGTATGGCACTACCATACCACGATTGTACGTGTTGGCCATGTAGTCGATCAGCACACGGCCTGGCACGCATCATCATCCACACGACCACACGAATCAGGCAATGGATCGCGAGTGGATCACAAGAGTGTGCGAGCCCGGTCATTGCAACTCACCGCCCCGCTGATCTTTTCTGAGCTGAATCGTGGCCTTGTCGGGGTTTTGTTGAGCCAGACGGTCGCCAACAAATTTGGCAAACTCACGCGTGTCGTCAAAGTGCAAATCGGGCGTGAGCGGTACCACCACGTGCAGCCCATCCCCACCTATGCGAATTTTGACACACAATATTGCAAAGCCAGTGATTTGAATCGTCTTGTCACAGCAGGCACGCGAGAACGAGCGGCAAAGCTCCCTGGAGCCAACAAAAACGCACCCGTAAGCATGACAAAGGATTTGAGCTCAAAAGTTTGGCTCAGCATGTCACGCAAAGCAAAAGCTAGCTCCTTGACGGTCCCAAAGCTCTTGTCATCAATCGGGTCCAAGTTGAAGAGGACCTTGTCTGTTGTCACATGCCAGTCAACACGGTACAGGCCTGAGTGAGCGTAATCTGCCACTTGTGTTTGCATCAGAGCATGAGAAGCATTTCATGAGGCTGACCTGGGCTGTCAAGGTGCTCGCTGGTGGATAGCCAGGCGTGGAATTCGAGGCTATCCATTTGCACGGCAGAGACCAGCGCCATTGCGGAATCGGCCTCCATGTATTCGTCCGTCTTGCCATCTACACCCAAGTAACGCAGAACCGTGTGTGGGCACACGCAGGCATATGCACGCACAGATGAGTAGATGCCCAGCACAAGAGATTGCTGCGGCGACGTTGTGGCCGAGAAAAGAAAGGGACAGCGAGTGGCAGCAGGGCTGAACACAACTCGATGTACCACTGCTGCCTGTGCACAACCTACTTTTCTCATTCAGAGCAATTCGCTTCATGTGTTTTGCCAGACCGTGGGGAGGATGCTTCTGGACCTGCGACGTGGAATGAGCAGCGGCCAAGTGCCCAGCATGAGAGCTGCAAAGTCTGACAATAGTCTGGAGCCCAGGTGGATACGTGGCATCATTCGAGAGTACTGAGCGCAGACCGCCACTCCCTGAGCAAAGGCAAAAATGCCACGTACGAACTGGCGGCCATCTTGAACACCCTTGATGCCACGCACGAGGGTCAAGGGTCGACCACGGGTGTAGCGGATAATATGCTGGTCTACGGCCAGAAAATACTTGGCCAGCTCGGCCTTGGTCAGGTGGGCGTCTGGAAACATGACCTGAGGGCGATGCCACACATATGGTGAATGGCGGCGTTTGGCTTGAGGCAGCTGAACGCTTCGGGCTGGCATGGTTTGACAAACCTTGTTTGGGTGGGTGAAGCGAATGCCAAACATCTGATCTTTGCCCGTGGTATCAGTGGATGCGGCTTGGTGGGCATCTTGCTCACGAGGTTCGGCTTTGATGGCGGCGTCCTCTGGCTCGGGCTTGACCTTGCTGGTGTGACTTGCATCTTTTTCTCGGGGTTCTGCTTTGACGCCAGCCGCTGCTCCTTTGCTCGCGGCGGCGGCGTCCCGGTCCTGTGCCTTGGTCTGAACCGTGTCTCGGTCAGCGTGTTCCCTCTTGGGGGCCTAAACGCACGCGAGTCAGATTGGTTTGATTCAGCGGAAAAGCTAGAGCCGCGCGTGATCTTGGGACGAAACCTGCTGGAGCCATTTGTCCGAGAAGAGCTCCCATTTGTGCCCTCACCTTTGGCTGCGAAGCACCGGTGGCATTGTCACGAGACTTGCTACGTGTCTGCACCATGGCGACGGTGATCTGCCACAACGTCTCCTAACCCCTTATTCCACCGCACAGATGGCACAAGGAACAAAAATACGACCCGTCGAGGCCGCAAGAACGTCGGGTCACGCACGGGTCAGTCTGGCACTGAAATGAAAACAATTCTTGCAAAGGGGCTCACATCAAACAGTCAAGTTAAGCCCTATGTGTGTGTGTGTGTGTGTGTGTGTGTGTGTGTGTGTGTGTGTTTTGAGTTGCTTCTGCTTGATCATGATTGTCAGACAAAGTGAGGGGGCGATCAGCACAACATGTTGAAAGTGGGACGTTGAAATCAGATTGAGGGAACCTCGACCGATATCCAAGCAGGAAGAGCTAAAGCGCACACGCCACGAGATCAACAAGCAAAACAAAGCCAGGGTGACGGAGGACAGGAGCTGTTGGTCAGCCTCGTGAGATGGAACCACAGGCTCCTGGCCAAATGCACACGCTGGTGCGGAAGCCAAGCTACAGAAGAATAAGTCGTGCCTCGCCTCCATTGAATCACTTGAGCGAAGCGACCTCGTTACGGTGACGAATCAGCACTGAGTGCGACCAGTAACGAGAAGGTTCCGCTTGAAGGGCGATTGTGCAAAGGGGTGGGGATTAAAGGGACACAAGATGACAACACCGGCGCCAGAAGGACAACAGCAAGACGAGGAAAAGCACACAAGACGGCGGGGCGCACAAAAAGAATCAAGTGGAGAAGACGTGGCAGTTGAGGGCCGAACGAGCGACTAAGACAAGCTGGAGCAAGTTCACACAAGTTTTTTGGCGGTATTTTTCTTTTTTGCTTAGCACGCGCAGCCATCCGACTTGTTGCCCTCGGCACTGTCAAGGACAATCTTGTTGTCAAAGTCATGGAAGTGATCGCTGTCCTTCTCCTGTAGATCCAAGAAGCAAAGAGCAAGCGTGTGCATGAGGATGGCAAGCCATGCAGCAAGAGAACAGGAAAAGGTGGCTGCTGGGCAAGACAAGCCAAGCTGAAGACAATCAGGCATGCGGTGGACCCACCTGCTTGAGGGCATTCTTGGCAATGGTCTGGAAGGCCGTGTCAACGTTGACGGCATCCTTGGCGGAAGTCTCAAAGTAAGGAATGCCACCCTTGCTCTGGCACCAGGTCATGGCACGCTTTTGCGAGATCTGCGCATCAAGGTCAAATGCAGGCCCAATGTTCAAGTCAAAAAGAGCAACATGGTCATGGAGAGACAACGAGGGAATTGGCCAGCAGAAAGGCAGACCAGCACAACAAGAGTGGGGCGCAACACAGTCGGGGGTGTCGAGAGGGGTGGGTCACGTACGCCGCGGCTTTCAAGATCAATCTTGTTGCCGAGAACGACAAAGGGGAAGTTTTCGGGATCACGGGGGCTGGCCTGGATCAGGAACTCATCGCGCCACGAGCCGAGCGTCTCGAAGGACTTGGGCACGGTCACATCAAAGACCAGGACGCAGCAATCGGCACCGCGATAGAAGGCGACACCCAGGCCTGTCATTTACAACGACCAACACACGGGTCAGCACCATGATACGAGAATCCAAATGGATGTGATAGCTGTCTGTGCACCTAACACGTACTCTGGAAGCGCTCCTGACCGGCAGTATCCCAGATCTATACGTTTCACCCATACATGCATGCGTGAAGGAGCGAGACTTCAACCCCAATCGCGAGTGGAATGTGCCACGACCCAATAACAAATGCCTTTCTGGCACCCTTTTGACAGAATTTGAAAAAAGGGTGCAAAAAAACACAGTAGCTACGCAAGTGTCTGTCGAGTC